TCTTAAGCTGCACTTTGATCTGCCCATGCACTCTTCCCAGCGTGCTTACCTTGTGACTGGCCTGTCTCCTCTTACGTGTTAAATAGTTATAAGTTGTATATGTAGGTTTTGATATTTGAGGAGGGTGACCATCTGTGTGTGTGTGCTTCATGGCCTAATTCAGTTCAGCTATTTTTTAATACACTACTAAATCTTCTTAGTTTTTAATAACTTTTGTGTAAGTTTTAATATTCTTTAAGTAGAAAACGTAGCCCATTTCGTTCCACCCCATAACCTACACCTTGAACTAATAGTTTTACGTGGTTGTTTGTGCTTTCCATGGTTGCTTTTTAGGCTTTGCTGAAGATGGCGATAGTCTGTATTAGCAAGGGTGGGTGAGGTTTATCGGGGTTTATAGATTATAGAAAAAGCTCCTCTAGAGGGATAGAAAACCCCACCAAGTTTTTTGAGTTTTAGGCCATTGCTAGTGGTACTCTGGAAAATAGTTTTGTTATAATTATTTGGGTTTAGGGCTATTAGTGGAGTATTGGATCCCAGTTTTGAGTCTTCGTTATCATGTAATCAGGAATATTGAAGTCATTTTCGTAGTTTGTTTTTATTTTAGTTGCAACTTGTTACAGCCTAATTAAAACTTAATTATGAGCATCTTTAACACTCTTTTCACTGAAAATTTTGTTAATTTGGGTTAATCATATGACCTTGGTGGCTGGTATGGCATTTACGTAGTAAAAACTTAAACTTTTGTTTATGGCTTAATTTTTCTGTTGTTTTCCTGTGGCATGTGGTTAATCTGGGCATCATGAGCTTGTTAGTGTGCTTGCTGCCTGCTCCTTTTAATCATTGGTGATCTAGAGAGCTTTCTCACTGGGGTGTAGAATAATTGCACGTGTAATGTAAGAATTAATAATAAGACTGTGACCAAACCTATGTGTTTATGGAGTTACTAAACTACTCCAGGCATTTTTAGTGCTTTGCTTTACTTACTAAGCTATAGTAACAAATTAGATACAGGGAGATCCCTGTCCATCAAAGTCTTGTGAATTTAAGTAGCATGCTAGTATTAGTGGAAGTATCTTAAATTACTGGGGAGTGAGTTTTTGTATTCCATAGGTTTAAAGTTAGAATTTTGGGTGTTTGAAATTTTCATTTAGTTAATAAGGATCTTGACTGAAACATGTCTTCATTTATGATTTAGAGATTTAATTTATTATAGAATGGGGGAAAGCAGGCTTTTATGTCCTGTAATATTTTAATCTTGTTTTGAGAATTTGTCAAGATTGGTAATGTATACAATTTGAGGTCTACAGGAGCTAAGGGGAGTTTGCTGAGCTAATTTTTATTGGCTATGTGCACATACACATACCAATTTTCTTATGTACTGTAAACACTAACAACTTAGGGTTGTTGATGTTGGAAAATAATATTCAATATAGGCTTAGCTACAAGTTGCTTAACTGTATTAAAGCCTTAGATGGCCATAGTTCAGTCACAGCATGCCCCCAAATTAAAAAATACCAAATATATGACAACATAGTTATGTGTGCACATGGGCCGATTAGTTCATCAAAACGTCTTATTTAAGAGGAAAGATAAGGAGATTTTTAGGGGAGATGATCCTGAAGAACCAGATGCCAGATATAGTTCACTTCTAGAAACCACCACATGTTCTGGGCCCAAAGCAAGAAGAGGGGCATGTTTGGGGATGAGCTGCTGCTTTCTCAAAGTTTGGGTGTTAAGGAAGTCGTTGGTCATAAGCGTGGTGACTAGAGTTGATTTGACTTAATGGGATATGAACAATTAATATGTTCTATGTAGTATCAGTCATATCTCTTGGTTTATGAATTATCCATGTGGAAGAGAATTTTATGTATGATAAACCACTCTGTGTATTATTTAATATTCATAGTTTGCATTTACACAGATGGGATAAACAATGTATGATTACATACGTATAGAATTTATCATGTACAATCAAGTATATATATATATAATGATACATTGTAACAGGGCAGATCATTTAATATACAAAGTACACAGCAATGGAATCATCTAGAATTTTTAAATACTGACATAGCCCATGACAATATTTTACTGTTTATGTGCAACTTGCAGGAAATAGTCTAGGGAGAATTTCATCTTGGGGTGCTGATGGTAGAGTTGGTGCTTCTTCCTTGATGTTCTAGGCGGGTTTTTCTCTTTCCAGTTTATAAGACCAGAGTGATCAATACACTATCAAGGCTTCTTTTTAGATTATTTCTGATTAAGATTGTGGGTGGCTTAAGTAAAAGACTAAGAAAATATAAGATTGATGCTAGTTGGCCAATGATGAGAAATGGGTGTTTAACTGGTTGTCCTCCAACTCATATTAATGTTAGTAGGTCTGCTACTAGTAGTAGTCAGAATAAGCATTGGCTTAGGGGTCAGAATATTATGCTTTGTTGCTTTGATATATGAACTGTTGGGCTAATTACTAGAATTAGGATAGAAATATTAGAGCTAATACACCACATAACTTACTGGGATTGATATTGAGGTGGTAACATCAAGTTTATTGAAATTAAAAAAGCTCTTAATTTTGCCAAAAACTACCCAGAAGACAACCTTAACCACATCATACTTATACATTTCCTCTGTCCTGCCTCTGGATCATACTTGTTTGAAGATATTAATTTGGGCAGAAAAATCCTGATCCTTTATCCACTTAGACAAAAGAAATAGGGACATTTAGCTTTGAGACCAAAAGAAAAAAAAGGAGAGCAGAAACCTACTTCCGTACATTAATAAGCAATACAAAACAAATGGTTATATTAGTAGGACCAAGTGGAAGATTAAGGCATTATCAAAATGGGAAGGTCCTTATGTAATGAGACCCTTGTGCATTGTTTATGTCAACATAAAGTTCAACTTGCACTCTCTAAAACTATTTTTCAGAATAGAAAGTTTTTATTACAAATATATCTACTGATTAAAAAATGAAATGTGGACATTAAACATTCTGTGGAAAGTAAAAATCCCATCACCTAGAAATTACAACTTGGTATGCATTTTTGCAAAGCTTTTGCTTTACATGTTAGCACTTATAATAACAAAGAAGAATGATTACCTTTTGCCATCTAATAATGTCATGGCAGTATTTCCATATCAATGACCATAGTGATTATGATTTATTTTAAATACCTACATAGTATTTCACTGTTTGGGAGTTATCAACTCAATTAACTAATCCTCTCAAATTTTTTCAAATTATAGATGAATCTTTACTTACTTGTCTCATTTTCTTAGGACAAACTCCCAACAGTGATGAATTACTAGTTTAAGTGATACATAAGATTTTTAAAGGTTCTGGACTCAAACTGCTCTTTAGGAAAGTTATATTGATTCAGTCTTCCTAAAGATAAAAAAGATATAGAATACTTTCAAGTTCACCCTGCTCATTGCTGGGTTAAAATTGTTAAATAAATCTCTGCACTTATCCCCAATTTCTAAATTGGTAATATGCTATAAGGAAACATGCATATACTAGTCAGAAATTCTGTGGCTGACCCGTTGGCCATCTCACCTTCAGCCATTCCCAACCCCTTCTCCTTTACTCACTTTAAAAATAAATGCTATTTGCTTTCTCTGCCTCTTACACAATTCTGGCCAATAGCAAGTAAGCAGAAATGTGCTGGAAAAGCTTCTGGAAAAAGCTTTTACTCTACTGGCAAAAAGCTCAAACTGCTCCCTTTCCCAGCTTTGGATGTAAACATACAGTATGGCGCTGTGGCAGCCATGTTGTAACCATAAGGAAAAGATCAAGAGAATCACTTGTTCTGACCAGTACCAGGCACAGATAAACTTGCAGACTTTGGTGATATGAAAAAAACTTGTCTGTTTCCATTCTTAGTTTTGCTTTGTTAGTTGTAGTTAAAAATATTACTGACAGACAAAACATTGCATGCTAAGCAATAATTTCTGAATGATCATAAATGACCATGAGTATCATTTATGATTGGAGGAAATATGGAAATTATCAGATATATTTAAAATAGGGGAAAAAACAGGGATAAAATATCTACATACAGGAAGAGATGATGAAACAAAACTTTAGTACTGAGAGCCACAGACACCATTAAAAGCACATTTAGGAGAAAGGAATAAAGAAAGTTAACAAAATGGAGAAGGGGTGGGTTCATGGCAGAGGATTACTGTGTTTATCTAAGCATGTTTTCTTTTCCTCCTAAGCACACAACCACACTATATTTCCCATCTTTCCTTGTAGTTAGTTGGAAACACACATCAAGTTCTGACTAATGGAATGTGAACAGAAGTGATGATGCCAATTCTGGGCCTGGCCCATAAACTCCCATTTTCTCTGTTTCCCTGTTCACTGACTAATGGAGATTTTGAGCAGAATCACAAAAATAGGGGGAGCCTATGTCCCCGAATTACTGTTTGGTGCAGAGCTCTTCCTCTAATCTCCTTAGAACTGTGATGTGAGCAATATACTGTTTTATAGTAGTAAGCTCCTGAGATCGTATTTAAATGACACAGATTTGGCAAAATTTTCAATATTTTGAAATTGGACGAAAATCTTTTTTCAGTTTCTTTTTTTGTTCTTTTCTAAATCTGCTGGTTTTCAGGAGGCTTGATGTTCCTGACTAGTTCCTTGGAAGAATATAGCTTTAAAATTGTGTAAGATTTTGTTCCTAAGCAACTGTCAGGAGGAAAGTCTCCGCTGAAGCTTAACATCAATTTAAACATACTTAGAAACAAAAAATAATCCCTTATTAAACAATTTCTACATTTTGGGGTTGTACTCCGAATGAAGTTTTCCTATGTGATCAATTAAAGCTAATAAGAGATGAATCCATATGCCTATTTAAATGGTGATACAAAGTTCAAAACCAATTATTACTTACCTAGCTTGCCTCGTCCTAATGTCTAAGACATACATATTTTTACTAAGACATAGGTATTATTACTATTAAGGAGAGTAGAAACACATACAAACCAACTGATAAATTATATATTACATGTTTATTAAGGGTACAACTTTCATGTAAAATTTACATTTTATGAAAAAATCAAAAATATTTACAAAATTTTGTAAGATTTGCAGTGTTCTAATTACAACTCAAATAGTAAATAACAAATTCTTAAAAATGCACATTTGTTAGAGTTCTTCTGTGTTTTCAAATTCTTGGTTAAAGAGGCAACTACAAAGTTTATCACTATACATAAGCAAGAACCAGCTTGCTAAATACATTTCCCATTGAAAATCTATTGGTCTTTTTTCACACCATTAGTGGATTTTTAAATGAAAAGAAATCAATATAAACTCATATGGCTTTAAAATTGTAACCTGCACCCAAACAAATTTATGTATTAACACTTGGTATGAAGACTGTAGTAATTAAGAAAGTGCAGAACTTTAACCACTTCACTAATTTGTACATTTTTAGGTAATACTTGATTAAAAGCAAACATGGTGAGTATAATGGTGTCTGAATTCCAATAATAAAATATTAACTGCTCAATAAAAGCAGCCTGACTGCAAAGCAGTTACAGTTAAGATTCCAGTAAGGGACTGTAATTGGCATTTAAAAGAGCACAATGTAAGTTAGAAATTATAATTTTGCCCACTATTTAGTAAAGATGAACATTTTAGCAAATTGTTTTATGTGCTGCTTTAGTCAAACCTAAATTTAGAACTGGGCTAACACTGAATATATTAAAAAGCACATTGTGTTTTATATATATATATATAAAATTTTATATATATATATATAAATTTTTTTGCTAATGAGTAGATTTTCTGCTGTATTTAGTATAGCAAGATGTTACATAAATGTCTAGTAGTAGGGGTTTTATTTTCTGTAAAGCTTAACAGAACAATTAGTGGTTTTATATAAATTATCATCTACAACAGTTTATTCTATGCAAAATGCAAAACACTGGTACTTACAAATAAAATCCCCATTTGTAAATTATTAAACTTTGTCCAAAATAATTCCTTCAATTAATCAGGATTTGCTATAAAGTTAGGTTTTTTTATATTAAAAATTAGTAGTTTATTTAAGAAATGTTTAACCCAATCCATCATTTCAATTTCTCTACTTTTAGCATGTAGCAATTAAATAGGAACAAAAAAATACAAATTGGTAATTTTTCCAGTTGTTGAAAATGCCAAAACTAATCTTTTCAAAAGTGTGTTCCTCTCAAACTACTACAAAATTCGTGCTCACAACACATTCAGTAAATATTTCTAATAATTATCAGAGTGAAGGGAAATGTTAAATTGAGAGTTAAAATACCAGTTACCAATTTACCATTACAGTTTTTCAGAACTTTTTGATCAGGTTAAAGTGGAATATCTGAAGGTAATTTCTTCCCCTGTAAACATATGCCATTAGTTAACATTTCTCTAGTGGCTACAGTGTATCACTAAAGAAGTGAGCCAGGGTTCTTAAGTATAAATTATCCTTTAGTTATTCTGAATTCCCTTCCCAACTGCAGCAAAAGATATTTTTAAAAATTGCAATTATCTTATAAAAATGTTTGCCCACTCTATGATTCTGAATAGAAGATCCAGACTGTGAGAAAAAGTGAGGCACATTAATGAACACAAACTGGATAGGCACATTTCTGGGTTTTGTTATTGTTTTAAAAGGCACACATTATGCAACCCATATAAAAATAAATTAAATCTACAGCATTAATTCATCAAAACAATCACAACTTCTATAAAGTTAACTGCAGAAGTAAATCACTCTGCTGTCTTTGCAAGCTTATTTTAAAACACATTGCACTTGAGGATTTAAAAAAAATCATAAAATAACATTTACACTTTATTAATACATTTATGAGAATCAAATTATAAATTTTTGCATACAGCTTGGACTCTGATCTGATTACTTTATGGCACATAACTCAATTTGATTGAGTGTTCTAAATTAATATTATCCAAAACTTAGAATTCACGTTCTGTTTGTATTCATTCAATATCAAACTTACAAAATTTCAAAGCTATCTCTGACTCTAAAAACTTATGGAAAGCTAAATTACTTTGTGCTTGCTCTCCTAAAATTTTAGGCCTGATATACTATAACCCCTTTTTCAACATAGACACTGAAGATAATTTAAATTTAAAATTTCAGCCTATAAAAACTTCATTTTACTGAGAATCTGAATAAATGTGCTTCCTGAATATTGAAGTTGATCATTTACAGCGTTGAAAAATCATTTCAGTGCTATTTCTTTCAATGACTCACTTCAAAAGTGCAATTTAATGTTTGTAGTCAGCTCTCAAAGACATAATACAAGTTCGAATAGTGTCTGGAAAGAACAGATAATGCAGAATGGCAGGTTTGTACTACTCCCTCGAGCCAACCACTTTCCAGGGTCCATCAACAATCCGCCAGGTATCGTCCTAAAAAACACCAAGCAGACCTTTGCAATTATAATTTCAAATGAACTCAAAGGAGGACATTTTCACTGTGGTTATAGATACAGAACCCAGCTCCCATCTGCTGTTTACAATACATTAGAATCAGATCCACAGGTGTTCAGCTATACTGACCATGAGTACTCTTTCTCCCAGGTGTGTGTCTACCTGGCATCTAGTACCAAAGGTCAAGGAAAAAATTTCCATGTCTTGAGACTATAAACTGCTTGACAGTCATTTAGGAACTGTCAGAATGCAAATGTTTCCCATGTACATTAGAAAGCTTGAAATCTCCCAACTTACCAGTGGCAAACCGCTTCTTTACTAAGGAAAGCCTATAGCCAGTGCCTACAAGTTCAATATCTACTCCTGAGAGGGTATTTCCCTCGCTGAGGAATTGCACTGCAAGTGTGGTGGGTTTACTGGGTCCTTCTGAAAGATCAAATTTTGCTCTGAGGGACCCAGAACCTATAAGGAAAAGAACAAAGAACTTACACAGAGTAACATGTATTTCACACCAAAAAAGTCAACTGAACAAGTAAGCTAAACTGTGTCAGTCTTATGCCAAATTCATGAAACATGTACAGTAAACAAATCATCACCTGGTTTCCAAATAAGTCTTTATTCATTGAATCTGAATTTGCTAAGTCAATAATCTTAATCCATGCTTCTCTTTGACTTAATAGCAATCTTCAGAGGTGCTTACTATAGAGATTCCTATGTTATATGCATGCTGGAGTCAAAAAACAAGTAAAGTCTGAGGGCAGCTCAAAAGCAAGCTCTGGAAGGGATGAGTGGGAAAAAGTCAAAAGGAAATGAGGCTGACTACCATTATCATGGGGCAAAAGAGGGTAAAGAAGGACAGACGGCTAAAGTTGGGAAGAGCTGTATCAATATTACCATTTTGTATTCACCTTTCTTTTTAAAACTACCTGGTCTAACATCATGCCACATACTTCTGAGGGGCTTTCTTTCCAATATAACCATTTATTCAACATACATCAGTCTAACAGCTTGGCAGAAATAGTAAATCGAAAAATTATGAATGTGATAAATGCCATAAAAACTGTCAGGAGCTATGGGCACAAAAGCACATAAAATGGTGGTGGGGATGATGGTGTGTATCTCAGACCTAAGAGAGCATGATGCATTTAAAGGGAACTGCATCTAGGAGAGCTGGAGAACAGGACACAAGTGGAAGAGAGTGGCAGAAGACACTAAGTGATAGCAAGGAACACGTTCTAAATATCTTTACAAACCATGATAAGAAATAACCATAGGGAGCCACCAAAGACAAGGAAGACAAAACATTTCAGATTAAGTGTCTTAGAAGGGCAGAGGGGTACAAGATGCAAGGTAGGGAAACCACCTGAAGGTCAATAAAACAGATTAGGATTCGAGGTGACAGGAAAAGGGGATCTGAACTAGGCTAAGGGAAAGGAAAGAAGGGAATGAATTTGAGATAGTTAGGAGTTGAAACCAAGGGGTGAAAAGGAAGAGGAGCCTGGGAGGGTTCACGGGTTTCTGGCTGGGGAAAAGAGACAGAATTGCTGGGTAGTGGGAGTGACAATCTGTAAGTCCCCATACAGAAGGTGCACACTACAGAGAGAAATCTGGAAGAAAATATAACACTAACCCACCCTACACTGCTGTGCCTGATGGCAGAGGTCAATTGGGAAGATGAACTGTTGTCTAATTCTTAACCCCTGTCTAAGCCCTCCTTAAACTTTTACGGTTCTTGATAAGCTATTCCACTCTGTGAAAGTTCCATCACAGGCCAAGAGGAGCCACTTTCGCAATCCTTAAGCTTTAGAATTATTTCCTGTCCCTCTTCTGTGCATAAAGCCAAAAGAGAAACAGCTTTCTATTTCACAATATTCTAATTTGGATATTTCTTTCAAAAAGCTGACTGACTAAATCAGAACCACATTTATAAGATTTTCCCATTTCCTCACACAGACACTCTGATACCTGAATAGCAGAGGGAAACTATTAAACTCTCTGGTTAGAAAATTTGTATCTTATTTTTCAAAGAACAAATTCCCTTCTTGGTAAACACTGACAGTAGTATTGTTTCATTAAATAGGGGGAAATACACCCTTTCTGCCTTGCTAACTGGTTATGAACCCTCAATTCAAGTAGGATTTCTGGTTTACTCTCAGTTTTAACTAGGAGTTTCAGTTTTGTCTCTCACAGCCATACAGCTAAAGTAAAAGTCAGTACAGTTTGCCACCTTGGAAACAGGCAACCTTTAAGTACCAAATAGCAACAAAGGGACCAGAGATTAGCTAAGTTATTTCATCCAAGGTGTGGTTCGCTAATAGTAAAAGTCTGATTCAGCACAGCAGGTATCAATGGGCAATGTAGGTACGTTCCTGGTCCTTTACGTAGAAATACCTATGAGAAAAACTACTGAGGATACATTGTACATTTTGATCACATTATGCTTAAAATGTTCAGTGGAAAAAAGCTGAGCAAAACTTGAAAAGCCAAAATAGCTACTTAATTAGAAACATTACTGGAGATTAATTAGGCATTCAGAAGAGGGCAGGAGAAATCTCTTTTGATGAAGAGCAAAATGCGAAGAAAATGTTACAGACTTGACTGTCCTGGGAATTATATTCTAAATTGAGCTATGGGATAGATATAATGCTAGGAGTGATCAACTTGCAGAGACTTTTTCTTTGCATCGTGAACACGAACAGATGCAGACAAGGTAGGAGGAGACAATTAACTTGCTTCTCTTTAAAATAATGATCATAGAACTGAAGGCTGTCGATGGTTAGTTTTAATAAGGGGAAATGACCAAGGAAAGGTTCTCTTAAGAGAGAATAAGCAAAGTTTTTTTTTAAAGCCTGGAAGCTTCTGCATAATTTCCAGGAGGCCAGGAGGACCCCATTAACAAAATGAGCTAAAGAGTGTGTCAGTTTCAATTAGTTATCAGTTTCAATTATCAGGTTATCTAGACTTTGACTTCTATAAATTTACTTAACTAGGTATTTTCTCTTAAAGTTAGCATGTGAACATAAGGAGCATTTATGTAATATTTATAAAGTTAGAGCAAAACATTATTTTTCTCACAGAGAAAGCATATTCAATCTAGAAGGAAAAAAATGTGTTCTGAATCTCAACTAGTCCACTCTTATTTTAAGGTATTAACTTCCACCTAGTGGTCAATTCTAGAACTGAAGGCATGAAATTCCAGGAGAAAGTTTTCCATAAATGTTCCTAAAACACCATTTTCAGTGATATCACCTTATAAACAAACATGCACACACTTACCTCCATTTTCTGATTTTTCTGAAATACCAGAGAGTTTCCAAAAGGCTTTCATCTGTTCTGCATTCCTGTAAGTACAAATATCTTCAGATAATGTGTCTAGTACCTCATATATAGATGAGCACTCAATAAATACATCTTAAATATTTCACTAGAACAACTATAGTGCTAAATGTACTCTGAACAGTACCTTGGTGAAAATGTGATTATGAATAATATAAATAAATACTGTATCTTTCTTAATGAATGGATATTTACCAAATTACATAACTTCTCATTTCTACTGGTCACAGAAATGAAAACAACATGTAGGTGGCCCAGTACCTTCATTAATCAAGGAAAACACAGTTTTATTATTAAATGGTGAGGTAAATGTAGTGGTTAGAGTCTATACTAATATTTTTTAATTAAAAAATTTATTTATTATACTATTTAATTATTTTTATTTTGGGAAGGAGGAGGTAATTAGGTTTATTTATTTTTAGAGGTGGTACTGGGGATTGAATCTAGGACCTTGTGCATGTTAAGCATGTGCTCTCTACTTCAGGTATACCCTCCCCCCATACTAATTTTAATAGAGGGAAATATATACAAGATCTTGTGGTAGCTCACAGTGACAAAAAAATGTATGACAATGAGTATGTGTATGTTTATGTATAACTGAAAAATTGTGCTCTACAGTGGAATTTGACACAACATTGTAAAATGACTATTACTCAATAAAGAAAAATATTTTTAAAAAAAAGAGGGAACAAGAGAGGTAGTTAAGTGATGAGGGTAACTAATACCTAATCAGATAGGTTTTCCTATAGATGTGCTAGATTCTATATTTAACCCTGTATTTTTTAAATGAAAAAAAGGTTTAAAGAAGTTATGTGCTTCGCCTAAGGGTAAAGTTGTATTGAATCATTCAAGTCTGGGTGCTGACAGCAAAACTAGTTTTGTTTATTTTGGATTAAGGCTACTTCCTGTAGCTTGGCTAAAAATGAACAAAATGAACAGTACATTTTATAACATGGTTTCTCTGGGAAAATGCACTAAAACTTTTCTAATGTATGATACAACTTTCAGAATTTAGGTTTTAAAACTCATGGATTGTAACAGAAACTCAGCAGGAATTCAGAAATCTACTTAGTTTACCATATTGCAGGGGGAAGGGACTGCATGTTTGTGACTCCTCCATCCACTGGTACCACCACCTGTATATTGGAAAGTACACTTGGTGCCACCATAGCTTCTGGGTTGTACTTATAATCCACTCTAACATCTGTGGTGCCAGCACTACATTTCCAATATGTTGCAAGATTTAGAGGAGTGGACTGAATACCATTTGATGATACCTTTAAAGAGAGGGAAAAAACAAATAATTGCCTTTGACCCAAAAAGTAAACAAGTCATGTTAATGACACACAGCTGAACAAAAGCTGACACATTCAAAAATAATAATGCGGGAGCTGTCTATTGCTAAGAGTGAAGCAGGCTCATCTCAAAGGCATAAGTGTGACTCTCAACATGTGGACCCAGGACTATGTACATCAAAATTTCTGTAGTGCTTGTTTGAATTGCACATTCCACTGACTCGAAATGCAGGAAATCTGATTCAACAGCTAAAGTACAGGACAAAGAAATCAGCATGTTATCAGGTGATTCTTACTTATGCACATAATGTTTGAGAACATTCAACACAGAATTCTAAGATTTTTTAAAATAAGAACTTAGATTTAAAACAGTTAGAAAAACTGCATGCAGTACTGCAAGTCTGCAGTTAGAATACTTCCAACCTCAAGTGTTTAATTTTAATCACACAAACCATAGAAAGTGGTGCAATTCCTTCTGGTTCTACAGTTCCTTGCTCAAATGACTTCAATAAGACCTACTCTGATCATCCTGTTGAAATTTACACTGAAAACTGCGTTTTCACTCTTCTTACTTTATAGACTTTCCTTTCACCTTATCACAACATACGTTATTTACTTAATAGTTTACTATCTAACTCCCTATGCTACTCACAGCAATTAGCAAGCACTAAATAGTAAATATTTGTTGAATGAATGATAAATGAATACTTGGAATAAATTTTAGGTCTACCTAAGTGGCAGCACTTTTTTATTCTTTAAAGTATTTATTTCCTAGAAACATAAGCCTATTAATACAGTTATCCTATTAAAAACTCAAACAATACATAAGTGTATGAAATGGGAAATTTATCCTTTGGCATCCTTACTCCCTACATCATGGTACATAAGCTTCTAAACTTCCTAGGCATGCTAACATGGATCTGTCTCATTCTTTTAAATGGCTGCAATAATTAATTTAGTCAAGCTCTTTGTGGATGTGTATTAGGTGGTTTCCAAACAATGATACAGTAAATGCCTTTCCTACCTTATCTTCCCCCCCATTTGTGATTTCTGAAGAACAGATTTCTGTAAGTGGAACTGTTGAATTAAAAGTTACATCTGCTCAACAATCTAATAGCATTTACCTTCTAAGAGGTTGTATTAATTTGTACTCTCATTAACAACTGGTGATATCTCTCTTAATAGAACAATCTTTCTCATTTTTGTCAGTCTGATGTGGGCTAAAACTGGTATCTCATTGTCGTCTTAATATTCATTGCTCTGATTACTACTGACACAGAGCATCTTTCCATCAGTTATCTATCTATTGAGTTATTCATCTTTTAGCTACTAATTTATACAGGCTTTTTGAAATAAGCCTTTTGGTTTAACTTATATTACAAATAATTTTCTCTCAGATTAAGTACTGATTCTTTTTAAGGGTTTGTGTGTTTTAACCAAATATCTTATACACACGTATTTATTTTTGCCTCAAGTATCTCATTTTATTGCATGGCTTCTGGGTTTTTAATTATACTTAGGTCTTCTACACTTCAAGATTGAAGTATGTAATAAATATATATTATACATATATGCAACACACGTGCATATATTCCTATAGATAATACAATATATTCACCATGCTTTATTTTAGTATCTTTACAGCTTCATTTATTATTAAACCTTTGATACATGCAGGTTTTAGTTTTCGTTAAATGTCTGAGTTAGGGATTCAGCTGAATCTTCCCCCAAATCTCTAGCCTGCTGCCCCAATATTACCTTTTAAAAAATTCATTATTTCTACATTGCCTTGAAATGTTACTCTGTCATATGATCCATTTTCCATTTATTCTTCGATCTATTTCTGGATGCTCTAATCTATTGCATTCATCTGGCCATCTATTGTTGTGCCAGTCTCTATTTTAAAAACTGTTGGCTTATACTGTTTTCCCATTAAACTAAACATTACTCCACATTACTGTTTAAAACACTTCTTAATTTTCCAAGCTTTACTCTTCCTGAGAACTTGAAAATTACTGTCAAGTCTCCAGACACACATAGCGCTCCACTAAGTTCTGATCAGGATCACACTAAATTTATAAGCTAATTTAGAAACAGCTAAGCTTTATTACAACATGAGTCTTCTTTTAAATAAAGTATGCCTTTCTAACTATACTCAAGTCAGTAGAGATTGTGCTGTTTCTTCTTAGTTAAAATTTTTTTGTTTTGTGTTCACTGTGGCTACAGGAATGGATGCAGTAACAGATCTTTTTTTAAAAAAAAGTTTTTTTTTTTGAAGTGAAGTATAAGTGACATTACATTATATTAGTTTCAGGTGTACAGCACAGCTTTGATATTTATATACATTGTGAAATAATCACCACAATATGTCTAGTTTACCTGTCACCATATATAGCTACAAGAATTTTTCCTGTGATGAGAACTTTTAAAATACACTCTTAGCAACTCTGAAATATGTAATACAGTATTATTAACCTTGTCATATTGTACATAACATCCCCATGACTTATTTACTTTGTAACTGCAAGTTTGTAACTCTTGACCTCTTTCACACATAACACCCACCCCTAACCCCCTGCCCTCTAGCAATCACCAGTCTGTTCTCTGTATCTCTTCCATCCAAGTACTAACCAGGCCCGACCCTGCTTAGCTTCCAAGATGAGATGAGATCGGGTGCATTCAGGGTGGTATGGCTGTAGACTGTTCTCTGTATCTCTGAGCTTGGTCCGGTTGGTTTGATTTTCAGATTCCACATATACGTGAGATCATGTCTTCTATCTTCCTTCGTCTGACTCATCTCATCTCACTTAGCATAATATTCTCAAGGTCTATCCATATTATCACAAATAGCAAGATTTCATTTTTCGTGACTGAATAGTATTCGTGTGTGTATGTGTGTGTGTGTGTGAAATCTTTATCCATTCATTTATCAATATTTTTTTTACTTGCAGGATCCAGCTTTAATAAATTTGAACACAAGACACAGGTTCCCAGGTGTACATAAATATATGTCCATTTTACAGTTGCTTTTTGCTTCTTCCATCTCTTAATTCTTTTGGACAGGCATGAAAGAATGTTCAAACTCTTGTTCAACAAGAACTTCTTTAATAGAGCCTAATGGTCTTTTGTTGCCTCCTAGATCTTGGTGAGGTTTTTACAGTTGTTCTGTATCTTGGCTACTATAAATAATGCTGTGATGAACATGGGGATGCAAGTATCTTTTCAAATTAGTGTTTTCATTTTCTTTGGATAATTACCCAGAAGTGAAATCATATGGTAGTTCTATTTTTAACTTTTTGAGGAACCTCCATACTGTTTCCATAGTAGTTTTATCAGTTTATATTCTCATCAACAGTACACAAGGGCTCCCCTTTATCCACATCCTTATCTTTCTGTTAACAGGCATCTAACAGGTGTGAGATGATAGCTTATTGTGGTTTTGATTCACATTTCCTGATGATTAGTGATACTGAACAACTTTTTATGTACCTTTTAGCCATCTGTATGTCTTCTTGGAAAAATGTCTATTCAGATCCTCTGTCCATTTTTAAAATCTGACTCTTTTGGAACTGAGTTGTACACTCTTCATATATTTTGGATATTGACCCCTTATCAGATATAGCATGTGCAAATAATCTCCCATTCAGTACATTGCCTTTGCATTTTGTTGATGATGTTCTTTGCTGTGCAGAAGCTTTTCAGTTTGATATGATCCTGTTTGTTTATTTTTGCTTTTGTTGTCTTTGCTTCTGGAGTCAAATCCAAAAAATCATTACCAAGGTTGATGTCAAGCAGCCTACCTTCTATGTTTTCTACTACGAGTTTAGGGTTTCAGGTTTTGCATTCAGGTCTTCAATCCATTTTGAGTCAATTTTTGTGTATGGTGTAAAATAGCAGTCTAGCTTCATTCTTTTGATTGTGGTTAGTTTTCCCAACACTATTTATTGAAGAGACTGTCCTTTCCCCAATGTGTATTTATTGGCTTCTTTGTCATAAATCAATTGAGCATGTATGTGTGGTTTTACTTCTGAACTCTCTATTCTGTTCCACTGATCAATTGTCTATTTTTTGCTAATACCATAATGTCTTGATTACTATACCTGTGTCATGTAGTTTGAAATCAGGAAGCTTGATGCTTCTAGCTTTGTTGTTTTCTCAAGATTGCTTTAGCTATTTGGGGTCTTTTGTGGTTCCATATAAATTTTAGGATAGTTTTATTTCTGTGCAAAATTGCCACTGGAATTTTAATAGGTATTGCATTAAATCTGTGACTGTCTTGGGTACTATGGACATTTAAACAATTTTAATTCTATTAATGAGAAAGTATTTTTTCATTTAGTTGTGTCTTCAATTTCTTTCATCACTGTCTTACAGTTTTCAGTGTACAGGTCTTTCACTTCCTTGGTTAAATTTATTCCTAAGTATTTTACTCTTTTTGATGCTAGCTACTGTAAATGGGATTTTTTTTTAATTTCTCTGCTAGTTCATTATTAGTGTATAGAAACACAACAGATTTTTTAATGTATTTTGTATCCTGCAACATTACTGAATTCATTTATTACTCAGTATTATTCCATTTATTCATTTATTATTCAGTATTTTAAGTTTTGGGGGGAGGAGGTAGGGGAGTCTAAAGATTTTCTACATATATGCGTCATCTGCAAATAGTGAAAATTTTACTTCTTTCTAATTTGGGTGCCTTTTCTTTTTCTTGTCTAATTGGTCTGGCTAGAACTTTCAGTACTATGTTGAATAAAAGTGGTGAGAGTAGGCATCCTTGTCTTATTCCTCATCTTAGAGGAAAAGCTGAAAGCTTTTCACCACTGAGCATGATGTTAGCTATGGACTTGTCATAAATGACATTTATTATGTTGATGTATGTCCCCTCTACACCCACCCTGTTGGGAGCTTCTATCATAAGTGGATGTTGAATTTTGTCAAATGTTTTTCCTGGATCCAATGAGATGATCATAGGATTTCCATCTTCGTTAATGTGGTATATCATGTTGATTGATTTCTGGATGTCACCAGCCTTGTATCCCTGGAATAAATCCCACTTGATCATGGTGTATGGTCCTTTTAATGTATTGTTAAATGTGATCTGCTTATATTTTGTTAAGGGTTTTTGTGTCTGTGTTCAACAGGGATATTGGCCAGTAATTTTTTCTTGTAGTGTCCTTGTCTGGTTTTAGTATCAGGGTGATAATGCTGGTCTCATGACTTTGGAAGTGTTCCCTCCTTTTCTATTTTTCTGAATGAGTTTGAGTTTGAGAACTGGTATTCTTTTAATGTCTGGTAGGATTTTGTAATGAAGCTGATTGGTCCTGGACTTCTGTTTGTTGGGAGGTTTCTGATTGCTGACTCACCCTGCTCACTACTAATTGGTCTTTTCAGATATTCTACTACTTCATGATTCAATATTAGAAAGCTGGTTGTATGTTCCTAGAAATTTATCCATTTATTGTAGGTTGTCCAATTTGTTGGCATATAATTGTTCACAGCAGTCTCTTACAGTTCTCTGTAGTTCAGCAATATTAGTCTTATCAGTTCTTCTTTCATTTCTAATTTTATTTGAGCCTTTTTTTTTCTTGGTGAGTCTACATAAGTTTGTCAATTTTATCTTTTCAAAGAACTAGCTCCTAGCTTCATTGATCTTTTCAGTCCCTATTTATTTCTGCTCTGTTATTACCTCCCTTCTACTAATTTCCGGCCTTGTTTGCTCTTCTTTTTCTAGTTCCTTAAAGTGTAAAGTTAAGTTATCTGAGAATTTTCTTACTCGACTTTACTCCCTTGTTCCCCAGAGAAGGTCTGGGTTTGTGCGTTCCATCCAGACGCTAGGCTACCATGCTGGGGGGTGAGGCTTACAGTGAGACCCTGTCTCAGCCCCTACTCCTCATCTCAGTGCAGCCCTTTTCTCATTTGCTGATGTGAAGGAGCTGTTTAGCTTTACTTTAAGGTCTTTTTCAGAGGGACCTGTTCCGCATGCAGCTGTAGATCTGGTGTGTCCATGAGAGAAGGTGAGTTCAGGATCTCTCTATGTTGCCATCTTGGACAGCCTCTCCAGCTCTAATTTAGTTTTTTTAAATTTGTGAATATTTTTCTCTATTAGTTTTCCTAACTGGTTGTTTTGTATTAATTTTTAAAGTGATCACTTTACTAAATTCCCTTATATCAGTTTTTCAGTTGATTCTCTTGAGCCTTCTAGAAATATATCACCTATAATTAATAATTTTTGTTCCTCTTTTCCAATATTTCTCACCATTTATTTTATTCTCGTCTTAAGTGTACTAACACATCCAGAAAAATCTTATACACACTAACAGGAATAAAGGGCGTCTTTGCCATTCCTGAGTTTGAATGCTTTAGATGTTTCACTATTAAGACTAATGTGCTGGACTTTTCAGGTTAAGGACATATTCATACATTTATATTTACTCAGTATTTTAATCGGTAATAGATGGTGAATTTGATCAAATTGGTCAAAATCTCCAACGCATTGCTGGAATGAACTTCATTCGGCCATGACATATTATTCATTTAATGATCTGCAAGACTCTATTTGTTAATATTTTAATAAGGATTTTTATAATGGTATAACACTTACCTGATACTTTAATACATCTACATTATAATAAGAAGCAGCTGGATTTTGCTCTGACAGCTTCTTGAGGTAGACAGTAACAGCTTGCATGTTCATCCAGAAATCTTTTGTGTTAGAATCACACTGTGATGGATCACTGTATGTATAAGAAATATTTTCATTATTTTATTTGAGTTGTCTTTATCCTTTGTCTCTGTGTAGGAATTTGGTGATGTGGGAAAGACTAGTAGAAATTAACCAAAAGATGAAAATGAGGGAAAACTAAAATTAGAGGATAAAGAATGGAATACAGCAAAAGGTTGCCTAAAAGATGAGATGTACAGTAGAGAAGGGCTTAACAGTAACTACTACCACCACAAGCACAAACAAAACAAAAAGACAGCAGAAGCCTATTTAATCATAATTTTGGTATTGTCTTCAAGTTGAATTATTATTGATTTGAAGAAGGAAAAAATGTCTTAAAAAGAAATTTTACCTTCAGAACAAAAGTACACAAACCTGAACACAAGCTGTGCATTTGGAAGAATTTGCTCTAGTCTGCTGATATTTTTCACCCTGAAGCAGAGCACAGCTGGAGATGGATTGCTAGTGAAGACTTTAATAACTCCACTTGGAAATGATATTGTCATGTCACCAGTGATCTTCACAATACACCTGGAAGTGTGGGTTTTGAAAAATTTAAACCATTTAAATAAGGCATTTTAATCTCCATTTAAAGCATATTTGGTTTAAAACTGCTTTATTTATATACATAACCTTTTTATCATAATTACAGATGAATTATTTTTTCAGTTTAATTATTAAAAATGATTCTATGTGAAATGACATACTCCTCTAATACCAGTTTTTCCTAGAATTAAATTCCAAACACAAATGCAAGCATACTGAAAATATTCCTTCACTTGTTTGCTGACACCATCCCCTGGCTGCCTCGTAAGGACACTGTTTCCCTGGTACCACTACCTGTAGCTGTAGCTGTCTTTCCCTCCAAACTCCACAAAGTGTACTGGGCCTGATGGTAGCAGTGGTAGATGTCCTCCTTGCTTCTCACTGCCTCTTACAGCCCTGTATTCCTGCTTCCTTCTGAAAACCACCAGCTTCTTTTTGAAACTCACATCATCAGATTATACTATTATCTCAACCCTTCAAGTCATCTTCAATGTTCCCTCTCATTTTCTGCAAATTTTAGCTCCTGGCCCACTGTCAGTCTCTGCAACACTACACCTATTATAAATGTTTAGTGATTTCATTATCCACACAGATAATCCTTTCAATGCTTTGGTCACTCAGTTCTTCAGTCCCTTTCCTCCAATGATCCTGTCTCCCAGCCTACCTCAGCCATGCTTCAGCCCCTCCATAATTTAAATCTCAGATTCCCCACTCTTCTAATTGTCATTTCCTATTTCTTCAACTCATTCTGTCTAGTACTACAGCCAACCGCATCAAAAACCTCAATAATCCATTGTTCCTACCACCATTTTTTTTTAACTAACTCTTCCTTCATAATCCATACACCCTCCTATCTTGGGACTTCATGGTCCATCATTATATGTACTCCTTTGCATAAGTTCTCCCTTGGTTCTCTTTCACTTGACTATGTTTGCTTGGCTAAACACAATCTTGGTTAAACCCAGCTTCTCACCTACATCTTATACCGCTGAACATGAGTAGAGAAAAACATAACCATACAGCCAAAACTCTCAATAGGGCCCCCTTAGTATTACCTGGAAATTCTACTATATTCCCTAGCTCTTTGCATACCTTCTCCTTTCTTGTCTAACTCTAACCTGCAAAATCCCTCCCCTCCACTCCCCACCTTGGCAACCAATGACTTTCCTTTAAATTTTACAGAGAAAATAAAATACTACCCTCACTAGTAAAATCCTAATCTCCCTGACTCAGAAGGCATTCATACCTTCTGCCTTCCCTCCTATTTCAACAGAATCAGTCTCTACACCTAAGGCCAATCCTATCCCTTCTGCACTGAAGCACATCTCTTACATAGTAAAGGACTTCACTCATGTAATTGTCCTCTTTCCTGCAGATTCAATTTTTTCTATAAATACTGGATCGTTCCTATTAGCATACAGACATGCTGAAATGTATATTATCTTTAAAAAACACAAAAACTAAAATTAATTTAAAAAAACTTCCTCTAATTCTGCCAGCTCTCTCCTGCTACCAACCCAATTTCTCTGCTTCCACTTAGAGCAAAATATCCTAAAATAACTGCTTAACATTTGCTCTCTCCAAATGCAGTTGTCTGTATTTGCACCATCTCCTGCTCCTGAGCTCCCTCCAAGCAGGCTTTCATCACAACTCCATTAAAACTGCTCTTGTGAAGGTCATTAATGATCCATTTTTCTTGACCTGACAACATCAGATAGAGATAGCTTCACACCTTCCTTCATGAAAAGGTTTATTCACTTAGTTTCTAGGATACTAGTCTACTGGTCTTCTCATCTCTCTTGTTGCATGCTGTCCCAGACCCTATTGTTGGATCATTCTCGTTTTCCTGTTTTTAAACACTGAAGGGGGCCAGGGACTTAGTTCTCATCAGATTTCTTCTCTGTCCCCTAATGCTCCCAGCTTTAAATATCATACACAAATTAATGACTACTAAGTATTTTCTTTCTAGCCTGACCTATCTACGAATTCCAGAATCATATACTCACTTATCATCAACTCAGCATGTCCACTAAGTTGTCTTAAGTACTTCAAATTTAGCAATCTACTCTCTCGACAAATTTTGACAACTCTGTTTTCAAAATATCTTCAGAATCTCATTACTACTCACCATCTCCTCTGCTAATACCCTTACACACCATCATCTCGCATCTGGACCTTAGTAGTTAATCCTTTCTCACTGCATCTACTCTGGTGCCTTTTAGTTTATTCTCCATATAGCAAGCAAAGTGCTACTTCAAAAATGTAAGTAACCACATACCTCCTCGACTCAAAAGTCTCCACTGGCTTCCCACCTCACTCAGAAGTTTCTTAAATATGCCAAGCATGCTTCTACCTCAATTCTTTACAACACCTGCTGGAATGCTCTTCCCTCAGGTATCTGCATGGCTTGGTCCTCCCTCAGTGTCTTTCAAACATCTGCTTCAATCAGCCTCAGGAAGTTTACCCTGATCACTCTATCTAAAATAGTAGCGCTCTATTGTAACTGTCTATCCCCTTACCCTGGTTTATTTTCTTCAGGACATACTCACTTTTTGAGTAACATTATTCCTTCAACATACATTCATTCATCAAATATCTGAGTGCTTACTATGTATAAGACTGTTGTAAGTGCTGAGAATACTTAAGTAAACAAAAGTTCTCTACAGAATTTAAATTATCTTGAGAAAACTAAAACTTTCTCTCACAACAGTGCAAGCTTATAATAGTCTTACACATAGTCAGCATTCAAATATTTGATGAATACTGTTATACATGAAAAATAAGGGTGATCATTTCACCCAAATATAATGTCTTATAAGAAGGAGGTTAACCAATCCTTTGAGAGTCTCCTGCATTAAATGTGCATTCTAGGTCTCTCCTGCAAACATCACACTTTCACCAAAGATATACTTTAGGCCAAGATCCAGAGTTCTGTCCTCACCAGGTCAACTGCCATATCCTGCTCTACAGATATGTCAAACAATAGATGTGTCATACTGGTCATAAAGCCTGGGCAAAAATGTAGATAAACAGAAAAAGCCATCACTACTGATGATTACAGTGATTTCTTAAATTTGAAAGACAATCTCTAAATGACTATATTTGATAGCAAAAAGCAAGCAGACAAGTAATAGGAAGCTCTAACCTATAGAGAATCAACATATAAATCTTAAAATTTACCACCAATCCCCCCCACAACACACACACACACCACAGACATATATGTCATCTTTTAAAAACTAACTTGGTGGGATCTGCTCCTTTAAAGTAGGCATTAACAGATTCTGTAAGGGCGACTGCCACAGGTAAGGTGTCCTGATTCCCGAGGCTGACAGGACTGGGACCTCGTGACACACCTAGAATAAATACAATTCATTTGTTAAATCCTATAGAAAGACATTTATTAAATACCAAGACAAGTAGATTCAAAATGTTAGCTTGTCACAAATGACTATTACTGGTTTCAAAGATGCCCCAAGTATAAATCTGGAGGTATAAAGCATAAAACAAACTGGACAAATTAAAAAAACCAGGAAAACATGTCACACTGACTTTAGTTTTAAATGTGATGACAGAGAAGGGCTGGGTTAAGGAAATGTCAGAAGGAAAAAGCCCTTCACTTGAAGAGCTAAAAGTACTAAAATGTGGCTTCAAAACCATTCAGATACTAAATTCTTTCAGGTTCTACCAATCACATACTTATAGTCATTAAACTGGATTTTTCTATTTAAGCTATTTCTATCCATTAGCTATTTCCAATGTGATCATACACTGCTCTTTCTTACTATAATTCTTTTACCTCTTCTTTGTCCAATGCTTGTATTATATTCCCATATTACCTTTCCTTGATAAATATGAGTAGTAAGATTATTTTGGCGTAACATTCCTGACATAAAGTTCACTAAGATACCTTTAGAGTCAAATCATATAAAGATTAATGTTTTCAAAGCATAATAAAATGTAAACAAATTTAATCTATGTGTGTGTTCAGGTGTGTTTTTTAAAAACCTAAACAAAGTATCTGGTTTACTTCATAACAGAAAAACCCCTCAAAGTAATGTATTGCCTTTCTTTTTCTTTATAAATGTACCCTTCCCTTTTATGTCTTACCATTACTGTTACTGATTGGAAAGTGCAGCATTTCATTTAATATATAATATATGATGAAATTTTGTTTAAAAAGTCAATAGGATAGTTAATTATGATTATTCATTCTTAAAAAAATGAAAAATCTAGGTCAAGATATAGCTCTGAAATTTGAATGTATGCTTTTGTTATATAAATGCCACACAAGGTTCATAGCCATCAGGTATTTTCATTTCAGACATGACTGCCTATAGGGGAATTACTGAATTACTTTTGAGACACGTAGAGTACTACTTCTGACAAAAATCAGTATTAGCCTTCTCGGCTTCACAACTAAACCTGGGATACTAAAAATAGTGAGAAAGAGCTTTTGTTAGCTTAAGAGGCCAGGAAGACTTTGTAACAGTCAAGATTTTGAAGAATTTTGATTTAGAAGACTCTTCATAGTTTAAAAAAAAAAGAAAAGAAAAAAGGGTTCAGTGATTAAATATATATGGAAACAGAACTGCTGTTTCTAGGCCACTGGGAAAAGTAAAACCCTCTCAAGACAACTTAAAATTTTGTATGAAAATAAACTCGACATAAAAATTTATTCACAAGATCACAACAGCTACTGTTTACTGACCACTAATATATGTCAGACACTCTGCCAAAGAGTCGTCAAAGAAATGGTGCCTTTTGGAACCACATGTAGTTTTGCAAAGTGGGAACATACTTTGTGGGTGAGGCATGGGCTGCAGTGACGAAAGGACATAAAAGTATGGAGAAGTACTTACGACCCAGATCAAGGCATGGAGGACCTTTAATTTTATCCTTTTGGCACTAAAAGCCACTGAAAATGTTTAAGAGAAACATGATTATGTTTTTCACTTAGTAAGATCACAGAGTAGGTCCTGGATTGAAGAGAATAATGACTTGGCAGGGATTCAGGTTTTGATCAGGTGAGAGATGATTAAGTGGAAAACAAGCTTCATCAAGAGGCAGTAGTTTCTAGCATATGTTATTGCAATTATGTAAATACACGATTGTGCACTGGGAAAATTTCACTGTAAATCTATTAGTTCAGTAAACTTAAAAAATATACTGTTCTAGAGGGTCACTAGAAATTCAGGAAAGCATATTTTCAGAGAAAGATGAAGGATATAATATTTCATTAGAGAAAATTATATTCTCTTAAATATAAAATTAAACTTTTCCCCTAACCTACAAAATGGGTATTTACACACATTTATGGGTAACATTAATGTCTGCTACTGCTTTGACATTAAAAATCGAAAGAAACCTAGAGTTATTCTTTTCTGTTATTCAATTTGGGCATATAAAATGTGAATTCTTGACATTGTTTCCCTTTAAACTGTTAAGCCCATTATTGAAACATGGGAAGAAGAAAAAAGTATGGAAAAGTTAAGAAAAAAATATCCACTTACCATACTTAACATTTTGGCATACCCCCTTTTCTATTTTCCATTTTTGTTTCCAAGATATTACATATGCATACTTCAAAAAAAATCTGACATAGGAAACTGTACTTAAGTCCCTTAAAAAAAAAGTCTAAATTTGTACTGTATTATTCAGAATAACTCATTTCTTAGAAATAATAAATTCCTTGGATATTTTTTATAAGGATAGCATGCATTCTAACTTGTTTAATTGTTGCATATTTAAACACTGCAAGTGTTTTGAAAATGCAGAGAGATAAAGCTGAAATATAGGGTAACTTCCTTTGTAACAATCAATGAATATTTCTGTGGAATTCCTCTCAACTCAGGAGTAAAAAAGAGGGGCTCACTCCCAAATATTTTCTACCTCTGTGCCTCTAACTTCAGATCACTGTATGTATGGTTTAGTATAACAGCTTTTGCTATGGTGGTTTCTGTGTTATAGTTTTTTTTTTCTTTAACTGACATACTCTTCTTTCCTAACCACTTTTACTCTGCTTCTGATAGCTTTAGAGGTAAGATTTATTGATACTTAATGTTGAGGGGAGAAGAGCAGGGAGATGGAAGATAATGCAAAAATACTGTACATTTTTATAATTTATCCAATGATATCAATGGATCTTGTATAGAAACTGGACATAATTAGTACAAAATTGACAGTTAAACCTTAGAGTTATTCTTATTTCTGAGACACTGTACATTGCTGGAAAAAGAAAAATTAAGTAACAGAGTATTTTAGATACACTTTAGGATCATTAGTCAACACATACATTTGCTTTTGATACAATACCTTGTGAAGTTTCACAGTGCTTTTCAATTTCAGAGAGAGTCCCAATCAAATTATCATCTTCTATCACATTTAAATAAAACAAAATATTGCAGGAAAAGAAAATACTTTCAAGAAACAAAAAGAATCAAAAGCTTAAATCTGAACAGGGAGCTGAATAAACGTCACAACAAAGAACTTTTGAGGTAGATTTAAAGAGACTTTGTTGTACAAAATCCACATTACATCCTGCCTGCCTGTATCATCACTGTCACCTACTTGTGGTTCTCCTATTGCCAGCATTGACCCAAACTAAAAACAAGTATCTATCAATTTAATCAAAGTTAAAGTTCCCATCACAAAAAGAAAACTTTCCAAATAATCTAGAGATAACGGGAAAGGACTAAAGCAATTCTGTTTACCCAGACTACATGCCTGATTTCTAACAGGACCCATGTGTTTTTTAAGACTTACTGGATATATTTACACAAAGTTGAAAGATGGGAAAACCAGTAATGTTCACAAAACTATATGACAGTAACATCATGTTTAGACATTTAGAAATCAAATCATGTTTATCTCATTTTAGCCAATACTACTCATGCCATTTTTACAATGGCTACACACAGAAGATGCATTTCTTTGTGTGTGTACTAACAAATCAAATTGGGTATAATTAAAGCAGCTAAATTAAGACTGTGATTCTCAAACTTAACATGCATCAGAATTGCCTGGAAGGCCTGTTCAAAGACTGCTAGCCTCACTCCAGAGCTTCTGACCTAGAAGGCCTGCATTTCTAATCAGTTCTCACGTGATGCAGACAGATGCTGCAGGTCCAAGGACCACACTTTCTGCACTGCTGAATTATGCTCAGTTAGTGCAAACCAGTAATTTTTATTATCAAAGATTAACTATTTACTACTGAGAAACAGCAATGGGGACAATTATAATTCTTATGACAGGTTGTTGCTCCTGAAATACAGCTTCTCTGTTTAAGTGGCTTTGTGCTTTGTATATTATATTAGCAGTGGGTAAGAAAAATGGTGAGAATTTGTGTAAAGAATTGAATAAAACTGATGACAGAAAAAACTCGAGCAAAATCTAGGTATAAAATAATCAGTTTGTTTGGTGAAGTTTAGGTTTACAGTTATGCCTTAATATCTAGTTTTAAATCTGTATGATTTAAATTCTTATAGAAAAAATAAATTGATTGCAAGCACAAAACCCCTTTTATTGAATCAGTTGCTTTTAAAACAAATTTTCTTAGGAATCCAAGTATCAATTCACAGTAGAAAGGACTGCATCGTATTTTGCCTTCAACTATTTATACTGGTCAGTAGTTTATAAATTTAATGCATTCTTAACAGTGCTAACCATGGTTAAAATTCTCTCCAGATAATACACAATGTGAAAGAGAAGGAAAATGTGGCTAGTTTGATAATGCCAGGTATGCTTCCAAAAAACCAAAATGTTTAATGTTTAATTCTTTACTAGCCCATTAAAAAAAAAGCCTCAGCCTGATCATATTTTGGATGCTAACTTTCCCATGTAATCGATGATAATCACTTACCTACTGTTGGAGTATTGGCAGCACTTAATGAAGCAGAAGACGAGATAGAGGAAGAACTTTCTGCCCGGGCTAATGGAGCAGCAGGAGGTGGGCTGGTACTAGACGTTACAGGTGGGCTGAATGGCCTGGGCTTAAGAGCAAAATATTATGTACCAAAATGCTAAACAATTCCCCTCTTCTCAGAAAAGATTCTGAAGTATCAAGTAAGATTAATTTTAACATACTAAACCAACTTTATTGTGTTTCTTACAACCCACAGAGATGCCATATGTCAGTCATTTTCAAGAATATATTAAAAGCTGAAAAGGCTATTTTAAAATAATGCTGTTTAGAGAATCTTGGTATATAAAATATTTTCTGTATTTCCAAAAGTATGCTTAAGACACATTCTCAGAAGTTAAATTATTAAACAATGTGAAGGCTTCTCATACACACTGCGAAACTGCTTCCCTTTTGGGTTACTCACTTTACTGCCTATAAAAAAATATTTCTCTGGATTCTTGCCAGCAATAAATGGATGAGCCTTAGGAGAAGGAAAAATAATAAAATTTTAAAACTTGTAGCTAATTTAATAGATAAAAATAAAATTGGCATTTCCCTTTTATGAATTGTCTATATTAGCTTTGTCTTACTGAGTCTGGGGACGACGTCTTAGTATTTATTACCCAAGCTTTCACTAACCCTTTTCTTTATTTAATGTAAATATTTTCTTCCTAAATATTGCTTGCCCTTTACTTTTACTTTTGGCATTTACACATCTGTCCACATTTTCTTTCATAATTCCTTGTTAATGCTTCCTCATTGAGAAAGTTCACCCCATTCAGAGATTTGAGAAAATCTTAATTCTACTATCTTCCTATTTTCTAGTTTAAAAATTACAACAAATATACAAAATATGATTCCAATCCATTTATCTTTTACTTTGGTGAATGGATTTTTTTCTTTCAAAATTCCTAATTGTTCCTGTAATGTATTAGCAACACTTCCTGAGTTATTTCACTTTTTAAAATACGGACTATAGAGCTTAATTAAAAATAACCTTTTCCTGTTTATAAAACTATTAAGTGAATGCAAATTTATTTAGGGCCTAGTATGTGTCATGTCATGGGTACTAGATACAAAGCAGTGAACAGAAAAACATTATAGTTTCTGTCCCCAGTTATCTGAGGAACAAGAAAAACAAAAGACAAAAACAAACCAAAAAGACTCCATAAGAAGCATTCACACATTAAAATTATTCTACATTGCATGAATATTAATGTACAGATATGTACTTTAATAAAAATCAGATTATACTGCCCAAAGTGCTTTATAATTAGTAAACCCCACACCCCCCAAATCAACTATTTTTAAAATATAGCTCCAGAGAATGGCCTTTTGATGACTCATTATGTACAGTAGGTTGGAAAAATATAGCAAGGTATACAAATGTGGCTGCAGATGTATACAGATGGAGGTAGTGCAGTACATGAGGCCAAATATTAAATTCAACAGCTGATCTGACTTAAAAGTTTGTAAAAATTTTAACTACTGTTGGGGCTGTTTTTCCTGTGGCAGCATGGCCTCATGGCCGGTATCATGTGGTTGCACTTTATGATTCATAATTACAAAGTGCATTTCATAATTTTTTAGGAAAAAACAAAAACAGCTCTTCTCTCAAGTGGCTTTCTCTTACTTTCAAATGGCGCTGTCCAGTACAGTACCACTAATACTTGATGTGTGGCTAGTTCAAACTTGAGCTGTATAAAATACACAGTGGATTTTGAAGACTTTGCATATACACAAAAAGAATACAAACTCCCAATTTTTATATTGATGATATGTTAAAATATGTTTAATATACTGAGTAAAATTATTTTTACTGTTTCTACTTTTTTTAATGTGGATACTAGAAAATTTTAAAGTATATGCTGCTTATATTTCTATTAGACAGCACTACTTTAAAATACTACTTCTTAAACATTAACATGCATCAGAGTCACTCTGAGAGCTTGTTAAAACACAAATGCTGGGCCACTCTCCAGAATTTGATTTGTCTGAGGTAGGGCAAAGAAACTGCATTTCTGCCAAGTTCCCAGGTGATGCTAATGCTGCTGGTCTGGGGAACACACTTTGAGAACCACTGCTCTAGAATAATAAGGATTTCTCTGTAGAGGGGTAGGGAGAGTGTGGTTATAGACCCTTTGCGCATGGAGTGAAAGGTATGAGCCTTCTCTCCAGAAAATACACATACAAGCATGCAAGGAAGAGTACTCCAATATAGCTGGAGAGAATTCGAATCAGCACTACCTTTTTGGTGGGCACTGCAACAGTAATCATCAAGAGTCTTAAAAATGTGTATACCATTTAGTTCATGAATTTTACTTTTAAAACTTTTACTAAGGAAATAGTGTCTGCAAAGAAACAAAAATATTCATTAAGGCATTTTTTATAATGAAGTCCTGGAAATAAACTAAATGTCAAATAATCAGATTTCTAAAAACTTTCAAAAATTTAATGCTGATAACAGGGTAGAAGATAGAGCATTTATGCTCTGCAGCCACTTCAAATGATGTTCCCTGAAGCCCTCAGAGGGTGGTTTCTAGAAGGCTCTCAAGGCTTGGGTAGGGAGTAAAGTATGATGTGAAAAAATTATAAAAGTCCCATTTTTACTTAATTAATAGACTTACAACTTGAGACTATTTGACAAAGGATTCTACCACTTTAAAGAAGTCTGAAAATTATGGAATAATTTATGATATAGAAAAACATTCCCCAAATATTTTCAAGTGAAGATTAAAAAATACGTAAGGTATGACCTTTTATTTAAAAATATATACCATTCATGGTAACTAACTTTTATGAGCATTGTACTTGACAATGCTTTAAGTGTTTTACATATATTCACTCATTTAAGTCTCAAAACAGCCTATTATCATACTCATTTACCCATAAGGAAATTGAGACTCTAAACTTGTCTAATGGTGCTCGGGTAATTAGTGTCTAACAAGCCTGTGCTTTTAATATCTACATTTTACCACCTCTGGATAAATACTTACACATTAAAAAAATAATGAAAGGATATGTATAAAAATATTAACATGGTCATTATTGGATGGTGAAATATATAGAAGGAATTTTTGTTTTCTGTTTTCTCTATTTTCAAAATTTTACAACATAATCACACACTGATTTTGTAATCAGGAAAAAACACATTAAGATGTAGTAATTTTTAATGCTGTAACCAGAAACTGACATACTGTAATTGGCTATACTTCAAAAAAAAATGTAATTTTCATATCACTTAAATAATAACCATCTCCTTGGGAGCTTGTACTGAGTTGTCATTTTCCTTCCACTAAGTCAGCTTGGATAGAAGATCAAAGAAAGACGTCACTGTTTCAACACTTGGTGCTCTTAGCTTTCTTATTTATTTATGAAACATTTCCTATCCTGAACCATGTGACAAGCATGATGTAAAGTATTAACACATTAGCAAAGTATTAAGCATATAAAATTGGCTAAGGCTCTAGTGAGGGGAGCACACACACACAAAAGTAGTCCTCCCTTGGTATCCACAGAGTATTTGCATATAACCTTTAGGAAGCACATTCTCCAGAGTACTTTAAATCATCTCTAAATTACTTATAATACCTAAGACAATGTAAATTCTATGTAAATAGTTGTACAGGCAATGTAAATGCTATGTAAATAGTTGCTGTTGTGTGGCAAATTTGTTTTGCTTTTTGGAAATTTCTGGAGTCCCCCCCCCAAATTATTTGAATCCATGGATGCAGAACTCACACAGAGGTCGACTGTGGGTCAACTGTATATACAAGGTGATCTATGCACTAAAAGAAGCATAAGCAAAGTGTATGGGTGTAAGGAAGAGAATGACTAAATCCAACAGGAGAGGAGTAATAATCAAAGAAGGCTTTACCTAGGTTGTGATATCTAGCAGGGTCTTAAAGAGAGCAGTTTCCTACATAAAAACTGAGGGGCATGTCAGATAGAAGGAGCATAATAAGAAGACATGGATGCATAAAACAGCATGTGTTTATGGAAAAGTGGAAAGTTTTGAGTGGCTGGAACCTAGGCTGCAAAGAGGAGAAAGCTGGACAGTTTGGTAATGCAGATTGTTGAGGTAACTTTATCAAGAGCCTTGTACATTCACTTAAAACGTTCAACCACATGGATTATGGAGTACCACTGGAGATGTATATCGGGAAAAAGATTAGTCCTGACATTTAGAAATTTAATTCTGGCAATTAAACTGGCAAGTAAAAGATGAAGCAAAGCAGAATAGACTGAAGGAGAGAAGACTGGCTTGAGAGAGTCTGACTCTGAGTAGAACTAATATATTTTCATTATCTGACAACTTTTGAAAACCAATGCCTTTTTTTTTTAAAGCAATATGCACTTTTACAAGCCAGTTAAGTGATGTGAACTGCAGATTCCTTATGTATAAAATAAAGATGGACTAGATGCCTACCAGGACTCCCCTGGCAGTGTACTTCTAAGGCCTAAGAACGGGCTACCTGCGTACTTGACTTCAATATTGGAATTTAAGTAGAATTATATGAAAATTGCTATTTAATTATGAAACAATGGGTACTGAATTGTATTTTTTTATCTTTTATCAACTTTCTCAGGAGAGCTCTTTCTTCCTGAACAATGGTTTTGCTCCACAGGTATGAACACTAAGATAATATAGGGAAGTAAAGAAAGTATTAGCTGGGATAACTTTTCTGTAGTTTGAGAAGCATATAGAAAAATATCATTTGTACATTTGCATTTTAAATCAAAACAGTTATAATTAAAAAAAAAACAACACCTGAGTACATACTATTTCATTAATCCCACTGAGTTTGCCTGAAGTAAGCTTTGGTCTGGAAGCAGGCCTTGGAGGTGGGACAATGGTGCCTATAGAAAGAGGAGTTGTGGGCCTGGCTGGTGGGTGGAAAAAGAGAATTTGAAGAAAATCATTAGTATGCAGCAATCCTTACATAAAAACATTCTATTATAGAATGACTAGGTTTCAAAGCTCATTTTTTTCAGGGTTTTTTTTTTTAATATAACTATAGCTATTTATTGAAATGCTGTGACTCTATCAAATACACTTTTTTCAAAGCTACCAATAATATTCCTGAAAAAAATCATTAAATTCTCAGTTAAACTGACATACTATAAATTATATTCCTGTTTCAATTATTTATGCACATAAAAATTAAATCTAATAAATTAGCTGGTGAAAATTAACCAGTTTAGGGTCTAAGATCTTTAGTTTATTGCCAATACTCCTAACTTTATAGTTATGCAAGACCAAGCCTGTGACGCAACATCTTCAGAGTAATAACATGAACTCTAAATAAAACATTACCTTAATTAAATTTGAAATCTCACTTTTAAGTTGAATCACACTGTACCATTTTTTGGTGACAATCAAAAATACCTCATTAGTTTACCAAAAAAAATTTCCCCAAACCACTAAAATTAATTTTTGGTAAATACAGAAAATCATACCTTAAGTCTTCCTAAATCCTATATAAATTTAGTGTTCAATATTTTAACACCATTTTCAAATTTTACAATTTTATAAATCAGAAATACTAAATAACCTCAGTATTCCTAATTAAAAATAACTCAGCATGGTAGAAACTAATGAAATTCAAGTATACATCAAAAGTCACACATGTATTAGCATAATCAAAGCAAGTGTGAAGAATGGAAGCAAATACATTTAAACCAGCTTTAATTACTTAAAATGATCTTCAAATCCTTTTGGACCATTCGAAAAGATGGGGCTATAATTCAGATTGAAGACTATAATACGGATGGGAAGAAATGTATTTCAATAAGCTCTGTAAGTTTACAGATGTGCAAAGTTAAAAATATATGAATAGGCCTAAGCATATACATGATGAAGCAAACAGGAAAGCTGAGGACAGTAAGCTTGGGCAGCAGTGGAGGCATGAAAGGAAAGGGCATGGAGGTGACAGAAGACATAAAAAAAAAAAAGTTAGTCACACACAGAAGTGAAGGTAAATGTATGGGGGTATGGAATCATTTAGAAAGTAGATCATATGAAGAGAGAAAGGATGCAAGCACAGTTGAGACTGCTTGAAGAAAACATCAAAAAGCTGATAAGAAATCAAGCTTAGATCCTTCTTCCAGTCAGCACCAGTTCTTTCATGCTGCACCCCTGCTTTAAGCTGTACATTGAAAGAAATGTGCACTAGCCTGAGGACCATAACACTTCTCTGAGCCATGACATATTTACTTTGAAGATATGTTCACTATCAATGAAACCAGCACTGACCAATACTCAAGTTATTTCAAGCTTGTGATAGAGCTTAACATAGTAGAGACATTCACTCCTGAAGCTTCATTAATGATCATGTGACCTGTCCAAATGGCATTTAGATTGACTCATATCAAGCCCAGTTGAAGTTCAGCTCCTTCAAATAATCAGAATTTGCTTTTTGAAAAAAGTTAATACAATATCTATTAACATCACTGTTTACAAATGAATCTATTAATTGTAAGTTAATAGTAAATTTATAAATTATAAATCTATCTCTGTATGGCAATTAGGTACTGCTTTTAGGAGCCTCTGAAAGAGATTACTACAATTGATTACAGGCTTAAGTATCTTAATTGTGTTTTGTGGTGGTGGTGCTGGTGGTGGAGCTCACTTCTAAAAAATGTCTATTAGATACAGTATTTCAAGAAATAGGAAGTGACTTGTAAAGTATAAAAACATAGGCAATAAGAGCTAATCTACATCTGCCTTCTGACATTACCTAAGGGGAAGGGACAAAGCATGTTTCCTGTAGCATTCTTCGCCTGAACAAAGGTACAGACTAATCTAGAATCCAGAAGTAATGATAATGCAGAAGAAAAATTAGCAGCATTGTTAGCTGCTTCTGTTAGTAGTTTTTCAGGATATGTAATAGTATGGCAAAGGCCACTTTGATCCTCAGAGATGCAGCTGTTAGAAGATCTGTCATCCAAAGCATCAAGGAACCCAAAGGTATTTTCAACTTTATAGTGCATCTCTGGAAAGCCTTATAAGTGCCACTGGAGTCAGTAATTTTAACAAGTTCATCAGTAAAGGAAATCCACTGACTACAACCATGAAGCAAAAGGAAATTTATGCTGGCTAGTGGTGGTGTTACAGCAGGATAACATAGAGGGTTGATGGAACAGTCTGGTAATGGGTTTTCTAGACCTAAAATCTGACCTGGTTTCAAGTAAAGATTCAATTGTTACACACCCAGACAAGTCAGTTTGGGAGAGAAAAGTAAAGCTGTATTCTGTTCATTAAGGTCAACAGAAGAAGAGGAAAGCAATTGAAAACAAGAAGTAACAGAAAAATTCTAGAAATAAAATATAAATCTATATAGCCAAGTAATTCTTATTTCAGGTTAATGTTACTTTAATTACTCAAAGCTAGAAAAATTTAATACATGGAAAAGAGCTTGAAACCCAACTTTATATTAACCAAGGAAGATAAATAGGAGAAATAAGAAACTTAAAATATAGATGAGTAATATTTGAGGTCCAAAAATATATAAAGGCAGAATTATTCCTGTTTCCCAGAGGAGCAAAAGGTAATGTTAACAGTAAAAGTCTAAAAAGATATGACAAGGTATCACAGTGATAGTGCTTTATACATGTGTTACTCGACAAAGTGCCTGTCTGGCTAGTAATAAAACTTGAAACTGTTAGGAAGTAAGAGGAATTAATCAGTTTTGGATTTAATATATAAAACTTAGCCTAATATTTTTCAAAAGATAATTCTGTGGGGTTTTTACAGAACTCAGGTGCTCAGTTAATCCACGGGTAGAGGAGAGATGGTCCATACTAGCACTTTATCAAAAAGGAAGTAGATGTGACATATTTACATTAAATTACATATAAATATTTTATTATATATAAATTTATTTATATGTAAATGATACGTAATGTTTATTTATGTATCTACATGGTGGAAGAAGCAACTGAAACTACTTCTATACCAAGCTCTAAGTATGCTTTTTAAACATACAACAACATTTATCAGTTATTAACTAGAATTATTTTCTTTGAGACTGCTTTAGCTGAGATGGTGTCACTAATGAATTAAGATTCTTAAAGAGACAGAAGAGAGTAGGGAATAATCTGACAAACCACACCTTGCGAAAATGTGAAAATGGGTACCTGTGTAGATAATGTTAAGATGGGAGAGATGCACTGCAAAGAGGTGAAAGAAAATTTAAGACAAAATACCTATTTCACAATTTCACTTAGAACGAGTCTTATAAAACATCATAATGTATTCATAAGTTTTTATCAATAATTATATTCTGCTCAAGTGAAGACATAATCATAATTACTACATAGCAGAATGTCTTTTCAACATCACTAACATTCTTTGAAGGGAAAAATAATTTGACATTATTTTTCAGAATAAATAGGAAGGTTTTAAAAGGCATACCAAAATAAATTTTAAAACACACAAAAGGTTAATTTTTTATCATTTCCTACCTACTAAACATCAAATGACAGCTGAATGAAAATGTATTATTTTCTACCTGAGGTTGAAAGTGATATGGGCAAAACATTCTTTAGACAGGGAGCAAGAAGAGGGCATGTTTTTGAGAAGAATGAGGCTGTGCTGAAGGAAACAGCAAAAAACAAAGGGTGTTATGAAGAAATTTCTATATAACTAAAAACTATGTAATAACAGTGAAAATTTTTATTAAAGATTTAAAAAATAAGTCATAAAAGAATATTAACAAAATTAAAAAACATTGCTTAGGACTCCTTTCAATCTAAAAACAAAAACACTATTCTGACATTTTCACTAAACAAAAAAGAGATGTTATTACAACTTCAGTTTTTCTTGTACAATTGTTTTACTTACAAAATCTATTAGTAAGATTAGTTTCCTAAAGCAAAATAGTAACAAAGCCCCATTGAGAGAGGCTATAATGCCACTTTAGAATATGTTCAATTATCTAGTGACTGTTTCTTGCTGTTTTACAAGTTTAGGTGCACATCACCTAATACTTTCTCTTCAAAATTCCTAATTGTTTCAGGTTAAGGTTGCCTAAAATCCATTTATAATTTCTTTTTAAAACATTTAGTTTCTAAACAGTCCAATTTTAAATATTAGTATTTATGTTATTATTTTGTTAATCTGCCAGTGTGTGATAAATAGAACAAAGACTTTAGAATCAGTAAGACTCAGGTTTGAGTCCATGCTTCATTTCCTAGTTATATAAAGTTCCTGGTCATCTCTGAGCTTTATTTTTTTTCATCTATATAATACAGAGACAATAAGAAGGATTCCATATAGCAGTTAATGAGGTGAAATCAAATAGAATGTGCAGATTTCAGGAGAGACGTAGCAGGAACTCCATCAATTCAAGTTCTCTTCCCACCACTCCAGCACTCCCTTAACCCCAACTGGCATTTCTGAAATCCCAGGGAAGGCTGAAGATCAACTTAAACTGATTTTATTTTCTCATTTTAAATAAGCAGTTTTATTAAACATGTTTTGATTCTTGACAAATGGGATTTTAATATTTTGAAGAAAAGAGAAATTTAATATATTCTTGCCAAAAACAACAACTAAAATTCATTCACCAAGTTCTTTCATGCATTTCTTGGGAAGTGCTAAAACCTTTCTGGAAGGCAGTTTGGCAATAAGCATCAATGGGCCTACTTTATGATTCATAAATCTTGCATTGGTAAATTATTATAAGGATATGAGATGTGCACAAAATTTATTATATCCACAGATGTTTATAATACTAGAAAATCAGATGCAACTTGAGTGTCCATCAAGATAGGACTGATTAGATTAATGTATACATGCAGTTGAATAATATTGAGAATTATTATTTGGGCACTGATATATAAATGATACCTAGAAATAAATATATAATATATAAATGAAAAAAAGTTGGTGTTTGATAAATTTTCATTCTTAAAGCCATGGTGTCTTTAAGGTATGTTAACAAAAACAGTATAAAATCACTCTGATCTGGCAATATGATAGAGGACAAGTTAAAAAATTTTTGATCATTAAGTACAACATACAAGTAATGAATAAATGAATTAGAAAAAAGTAACTACTGCATTCCTTTACAGTTAAAAAAATACATATATATATATATTTACCTGATGATGACGAAGTTAGTGAAGCTGAAGAAGATGAATCAAGAGATGGTCCAAACAGGGGGTCCCAAGCAAGTAAATCACTGTTCCCTTTACTGCCATAACATTTTAAAAGTAGATTTTAAGCAAAGGAGTATTTTATTAGTACAAAATCTAGTCACTTGTTTTTATTTCATAGAAAAATTGTAACAGCTCAGTATATATGATTAAAGAGTTAGATATTCTGCCAGTTGACTATTTGAAGAAATTTAATTAGCAGATTTCATAAACTGGTATTTATTAACTGCTATAAGCAAACCTACAATAACATTATGTGAGGTCGGTAAGGGAGAGTAGAGATTAATCCCCACTGATTAAATCTTGTTATATTCTAACAATCTTAGGGGGCCTCAGAATGGAAATAATTTCAGCTTTACAAATGAAAAGCAGCACAGAGTCTAAATGACCTGCCTATCTATGGTAGCATAGCTAATTAATTCTACAGTAGTGTCAGGTCTGCCCATTCACATCTAGCATCCAGTCTTGGACAGAAAATTTCTTAAGTGATAGAAAATCAGGTAGAAATTTTAAAAGGCCATACTTACTTTCAAAGATGAAGAAAAAGGGTAAAAGATTTTTTTAAAGTACTTTTTAAGTACAGAATGGTGGCTTAAGCCCCATCTATATAAACTTCAAAGGTCTGATCACTAGAGTAGATCGTGCATAGGTGGGGTTTTTCCCTAGGCAATCCACTACCTGGGCCACTAAGTCGGTCTAGCAAAATGTCTGGGTCATATATGCCTTTTTATGAGGTTACCAAAACCATGGACAAAATTAAGAGTATCAGCAGTCTAGTTTCAAAAACAACATGTATAACCAAAGATTTTCTTCCACTGACTTCATGGAATCCACTGGACCCAGTTACTCTCAGGATTCAACTCCTGGCTCTTTAGTGTGTATTTAATAAAGACTTTTATATAAATGTTTCTCTTTTTCATATTAGTCACAGCCCTTTTAAGATGCCTAATCTCTAGGATCTTGAGCATGTGATCTTTGCTACCACTTCTTTTTCTTAAATCCAGCTTTACTGAGATTTGACTGACAAATAAAAATTGTATATATTTACAGCATAAAAGAGAACATTAATCCTCATTTTAAAATATTTAATGTATCAATCTGCCATTATTTAAAATATTTTTCAAAAATCTTAGAAAACAGGCCCACTATAATACAGTTATCTAAGAAACATGTATCTAGTATTTCAGCATGCACCCACATGGAAGCACAGTCACATGATAACACCTAGAATCACAACTGCATAAATGATTCTTAAAAACAAAGTCTTAAAACACTAAACTTCTCTTTAAATATGACAAATCAAATGAATACCACCACTCTGCTCAGTTAGTGCCTAGCTTCAAAAGTTTCAATTTTAAACTACCCCTCTAATTAAGTCTACTTTTACTCATACAAAAAAACATGAAAAGAAAGTAGTCTTATTGGTAAATACAGAAGTGAAAAAGGACCTATGCAACACTGGCTTTATACACACACACATTTTTTTTTTAAAGAAGAGCTTGCAACATGTCTTCTAGACCTCTCTTTTTTCAACTAAGTTGAGATACTTCTTCATTTTGAGGGTCATAAAGTATACAGTTTTATTTTATAAGGTCACAAAAAAACTGAAGGAAAACAAAATTTCCATGAGAATAACTAATTAGTTGAAATACAGATGTGTATGAATTTGGGATATCATCATTTATTCAGAAGCAGTGAGGACGTCAAGGCCAAAATAGGTGAATGGGTTTTTTGTTAATTATCATAAAAAGAAATATTATCAAATGAGAAATAATTTAAAACATCTAAAAATTCCACATGATGTTTCACAGCTTAGGAAAAGGATGATTAAAAACACTCTACTGGAATTAAAGCTGCAGAGATAATAAAACTCTCTAGAAAAAAAGGACAAAAGAAGAAAATTTTTCATGTTTAAATTTTAAAAATTAAATTGCAATGGGCAGGGACACAGGATTTTTAGGGCAGTGAAATTTTTCTGTATGATACTATAATGATGGATACATGTCATTAACTATTTGTCAAAACTTATAGGTTATACAACACCAAGAGTGAACACTAATCTAAACCTTGGACTTAACGGTGATAATGATGTGTCAATGTAGGTTCATCAGTTTTGACAAATGTGCTATTCTGGTGGGTGATTCTAACAGTTCAGGAGGGGTTTGGTGTATGTGGAGGGAAAGTGTATATGCAAAAATCTCTATACCTTCCACTCAAACTAGCTGTGAACCTAAAATTGCTCTAAAAAATAGTCTATTAAAAAAATTTTTTTAATGTGGAACTTACTCATTGGATGCAGCAGATGGCTTCGATTTTGTTAACTCTTCACCTAATCAAAAAATTGAAATATTATGAAAAAAATAATCTGAGTAATAAAAATATTTTAATATAGAGAGAAATACTACACATATAGTAGTCCATGAACAATTTAAAAAATATGGCATTAATAACATATATATATATATAATTTAAACAATTACAAAGAAAAGGAACATGTCTTTAATAAGTTTTCTACCATGCTTAAGAATATTTAGCTGAATTTCTGCTAAATTTTTATTTCTTCTAATAGCTTTAGTAAGAAATGACTTAAATCAACTAAACCATCATATTCATTAAACTGCTGTGAAAAATATATGGGCTTCAATAAAATTAGAACAAATGTCTAAATTCTTACGTATTACTTAAGAATTTTAACTGAAGAATCATGAAGGCATTTTTCAAGTTCTAATGATATTATTAGTGATTATTATATTGGCCAAAAGTAGTTATTAACTCTTGAAACACATCCTATTTTGAAAAATAAAATTTTTACAACAACTTAGTCTATTTTGCTACCTTTTGCATTTCTAATATGAATCAAAAGCAACCGGTACACAGGGCAACAGCATCAGTAATGCAATAGTCCTGTTGGTTCATAAGTAATTTTCCCTGCACCTTAATGTTTTGCAACAAACACCAAGCAATGGCTAATATATCAACATGGGTAACTGCAACAAACTATGAGGAATACCACAGTGTACACTGATACTCATTCAAACCACATTCCTTCATTTGATTCAGTTTGGTTGGTTATTTTGCCTCAAAGTGCTTATTGTGTTGTTCTCCATCTTTCTGAGTTTTTCCCTCATCGTCATAACTCAGTAGACTTCCTTTATACTCATTTTCTTCACATACCTTATCAAGCTACTTACCACTTATTTTTAAAAGTAAAATCCTACTTTTAGTTTGATATTTGTTATGAGTTTAACGGGTCTTTGTAATTGTGCTAGAATTTTCACTGGGACTGATGTTATAGTTCTGGGTCATGAGGAAGTTATGCCAGTTAAACAGTTTAATACATGGCTACATTTTTCAGAAATCAGCAGAGCCAAAGAGTAGCTTCTAAATAAGCATGTTAAAGTTTAAGGTATGTCTCAACACTAAAAAAAAATAATATAGATAAGTTGTCTTCTGTTGTAAAGTAAGTATCTTTCTAGTCTGTCATTAAGGCTCATGATGAGAAAAGACGATTTCTACAACTGTATATGTTAGGCTATAAGCTTAGCACATTGCCTGATAAACTTAAATAGACTTAAAATAACCAATTTAAACATCAGACTTACTAGATGAATTCCGATTCATCTGCACCTAAAACAGAAATATAAAAATAAGTGCCATTAAACAAATAATTTGGTAATAAAATATCTGGTAAAATGTCAATACTGAGAACTAATTTTAAGTTATTTTTAATGTATCTGCTCAATTGTAAACTGTATTTACATAAAAAGATTACAGAAAATACTTTCAGTAGTTTTTTGTCTTATAATTTAAAAAATACATATACCTTTAACATTCAACAAAAAGTTTCAAAATACTAATTATCTATATAGCAAGATACCATGGCTTGCTAATTTAAAAACACAAATATTGTGAAAATCAATGTTCAAACATAATGATTTTTTTTAAAGTCAACAGGTAAAAACATAAAATCTTGCACTTACTGGACTGTGTCTCTAGCAGTAGTACATAGAAGGGAAAAGAAAAAATAGTGTTAAAAAATAAGAAAAAAGAAAAAGTGTTCATTCTATAATTTAAAATATCACATTTCCCTAGTCATCCATCTATTCCCTTCTGAAACATACCTAAAATCTATACACCTAAGAACACATACATACACTTTTGGAGGGAAAAGAACTTAAGCTAGATAAACTGGGCAATAAAATTGTGAGATCCTCTTTCAAACCCAATATTAAGTATTAAATTTTTTATTATTATTTATCTTCTGAGTACAAAATTATGTTTACTGTTTTTTTAAAAATAGAGAAGAGCACAAACGATCAATTATCTCACTACCCAAGATGGATGTTTAACATTTTGATGTATATTTCCTCCAGGCTTTTATTTGCGTATGTATTTTAAACTAGTTATTATGCTCTTACACAAAAAATTTTTAATGGTTTCACAACTTCCTACTTCATATATATATATATACACACACCATAATTTAATCTTGGCATTAATCTTAATAAGCTAAGTAGAAATGGTCGAATAAAACCTCACTTCAGAAATCTCTTTTGGTGGAAAAAATAGTTCTCAAATTAAATTCTTAAAGTGCACGACTAGGGAAAAAAACATTTTTTCCAAACAAATACATATAGACTACTTACAATATTTAATTACATAACAATACGAAATAGTGTGAACTTTTATTCTTCATTATCAAGAATGGTTTTAGGTGGGGGAGGGTATGGCTCAGTGGTAGAGCACATACTTAGCATACAGGAGGTCCTGGATTCAATCTCTAGAACCTCCATTAAAAAAAATACTAAATGGGGGGGAGGGTATAGCTCAGTGGTAGAGTATGTGCTTAGCATGCACAAGGTCCTGGGTTCAATCCCCAGTACCTCCATTAAATAAATAAACCTAATTACCGCCCCCCCCAAAAAAGAAGAGTTCTAAAAACAATTACGATAAGTATGTACAGATAAACTAAATTGACATTCTAAGATATACTTTTTCCCATAGTTTAACATTTCTGAATTTAAGAGTATGACATCAATAGAAAGATCTATTATGATGATTTTTTTCTCCCTCAAAGCTATTAAGAATCTCAGAATTGAATAAGTAACCAGTAAGAATTCTTATCTGTACCTCTCTTTGTATGAAAACTATGGAAAAACAAACAATACAGTGAAAGACAAAAAAAAATGCAAAGATATAATTTAATCTTTAAATTCTTTTTTATGGAACTCTCTTTTATAAAAAGTTCATCCAAAAAATGAATGAAAAACTTTTAAAATTAGATGAGGAAGAGATTAACACTGCCCATTCACAAAATTCTGCCTGAGACAACACTACTTATAGTACAAATGGCAGAAATAGTGGATTTTCTGAATTTTTGTTTAAAATACATTCAAAAGGAAATAAAACTGAGCGAAATTCACAAATTCACTTGCCTGTATAAAAATTATAAATGATATACCTCAATAAAGCTGAAAAAATTATAAATTAAATATTTCCTCATCCAACATGCTTAATTATTGCTAAGTGATGTTTTATTTTTTATTAGTTCTAAAACTAACCAGATGCAGGTAGATGACATTAAACAAACTAAGGCTTCCGTATAAAAACTGTAAGTGACTTGCTCATTTTCTTACTTACAGATACCGCTGGGGAGAGAGTTATATTTCCTATAGATACTTTTAATTCATCCAATGAAGCCATTGTGTGATGTGAGTTATTTGGATGCATAGGTTTGATTTCTATCCGGTATTTCTTTGGTTCTTCATCTTCAGAATCAGAATCACTAGATGAGTAGAAATGGTTCTCTTTGGTATGTGAGTATCAGTTAAAGAATTCAGTTTTTAAGTTACCTTAATGCACAACAAATTTTTCACATATTTATAAAAAGGAACAACAACAACAAAAAGAGGTAAGATAGACTTTACCAGAAATGTAACTACTAATATTAATAACATGTCAAATAAAGGACACAAAAGAATTTTATTGTAATTAAAAATCTGAAGAGTAAGAGTCTTTATAAAATAATAGATTATTTTGCTGTAAATGTCTACTTATATGCCAACACAATCCATAGAATATCCAGATTATGAAAGGATATCATTCTGATTTGCTTCTGGTTTTATACTATAGCCCTCTTCATCTACATCAGGAATGTTCTGGGGGGAAAGAAAAAAAAAACTTTACTATAACAATAGTTCCAGCTGTGAAAACCTTAAAAGTTAGCAAAATAGCCTTAACTATTACTGAGGGGCTTTATAATTTATCAGATATCAGTAGATTAACAAAATTATTAAACCTGTGGGAAAATTATATCTTTTTAATCGACTTCAAATTATACTCCATGATTCAGATGATCTGAAAGAGAAAAGCACTGCAAAACAAACAGGAGAAACACTGAAAGGAAGAGAATAGGTGTGTGGGTAGGCATGCCAGCAGTTCTGTGGATAACCAAGTTTTCACCCAAATCTTCAAAGTGGAAGAAAAAGGCATAAGACTGTGTGTGTCCAGGGAAGAGAGGTGGTAAAATCAAAGGACTGACAGCTTAAGTACATGGTAATATCTATTATAAATACAGAACAAAAAAAACAGAAATAAAAGACTACCAAGAAAATTTAAACTACATTAAAATACCATCTCTTACCCATGAGACTGGCAAAAATTCAAGAGTCTGAAAATATACTCTGTTGGCAAAGCTGTGAGGAAATGTACTCTTATACTTTGCTGGCATAAGTACAAAACAGTACAATGCTACAGAGAGAAATTTAGCAATATCTAACAAAAATATGTATGTGTTTACTCATCCATGCAGGAATTGTTTCTAGGAATTTACCCCAAAGATACACCCCCAAGAATGTAAAAATACATGTGCAACAAGGTTATTTATCAGAGAATATTTTTACTCAAAATTGCTGGAAAGTACTAAATGTCCAAGCATAGTTGAATAAACTTCATACACAAAATGAAGTATTATGCAGCTATTAAAAAAATGAGAAGGGTTTCTATGAAGCAATATGGAGTGACTTCTGGGAAATACTGCTAACTGAAAAAAAACTAAGTACAAAAGAACATGTATAGTATAGTATCTTTTAAGTAAGAAATTAAAAAACCATATAGATATCTGCTTATCATTATTAAGAAAAACTGCTGGAAGGATAAATCAGAACACAATAAAGTTGGCTACCTAAGAAGGGAGGACAATTGAGCAAAAGGGATAAAGGAGAGAGGGACACATCTAAATATGCTTTTGTGGTTTGACAACAGAATATAAAATTTATGCTCAAATGGATCAGAAAAAAAACTATACACATATAAACACATGCACATATATACGGAAAATGCAACTGTTAAAGCAAATGCAGTAAAAAGTTAAAGGTATATACTTTGTACTATTTTATTCTCATATTTTTTGCAGGTTAGAATTTACTTCCAAGTAAGTTTTAAAAATGGGAAAGAAAGAAAAGAAAAAAGACTGCCAAGAAATGCCAGGGTTTACTAGTTCTATATAATTGGGCAGCCAATATCCATCTCCTGGCAGTTTGCCATTCTTCCTCCAATCACTTGCTAAAGCTCAGCAAGAGAAATAGGAAGGATCGCTAATCTGACAGGCCCAGCACAAGGTTTACACAGCTATAGCCTCCAAGCTGAAAAAACAGTCTAATGTAGCCAGCAGTGACTTAACAGACTGGATTAAAGCCTAGAAGTGAAAAATCTAATATAGGGTAAAGAGCAGATTCCATATAAAAAGATGACAACTGATGTAATTATGACCCTACAAGTAAAGCATTTTCTTTGAGTTCTATATGTTGCTTGCTAGTATGCAAATAACATTTTAAAATACTTTAAAAACAAAGAAGCTTTGACAAATGTGGATTCATCAGAAATCAGAATTAAAAAATTTTTTCAAAATACTTTATTCCTATTCCCAGTACCCTAGAAACATACCAGATATTGGGTTTCCTAGAGGTTTTATCTGGGAACTGCCACTGCCACTACTTTTAAATTTGTTTACAATACTTTATACAGGACAATGTAATAATTTTAAATAATACTGAGCTGTTCTCTGTTAAGACTGAATAAACTGCTTTTGAATCAATCTCCTGTAGATTACAACTATAAACTCCGGTCAAAATAAACAAACAACTATCTGAAGGTACTGAAGAGTGACCCACAGCAGCTACTTAAAAAGATACACAAGGTGATAACACTTAAAAAAACAACAACTATAAATCAAAATGAAATTCTAAAAAAAGTTCAAATAATCCAGTAAAAAAAAAAAAACCCCAAAATTCAAAAAAAAAAAAAAAGAGAAAGAGAGGAACAAATAGAAAACAAAAAATAAGATGTCAGACTTAAGCCCTCACATGTCAATAATCACTTTAAGTATCAATGGTCTAAATATAAAAAAATCTAGATTGGCAGAATGAATTTAAGGAAGTATGACCCAACTATATGCTACTCACAAGAAACTCACTTCAAATATAAAACAGAGGTAGGTTGAAAGGAAAAGGATAGAAAAAACATACCATGTAAATATTAGTTTAAAAAACAAAAAAGACAGTCACTATTAGATAAAAACAGACTTCAGAAAGAAAATGACCAGTGTCAGACATTATATCCACACAAAGACCTGTATACAACTGTTCAAAACAACATTTCTAGCAGCCAAAAGTTGGAAACAACTTAATGTCCCACAATAGGTGAATGGTTAAACAAACTCTGGTACATCTATATCATGGAATACTATTCAGCAATAAAACGGAATGAACTATTCATACATGCAACAACCTGAAGAATCTCCAGAGAATGGTGCTGGGTGAAAAAAGCCTATCCCAAAAGTTTACATACAGTATGATTCCACTTAAATAACATTCTTGAAATGATTTAATTATAGAAATGGTGAAAAGATTAGTGGTTGCCAGATCAGGGAGAAGGAGGGAATGAAACAAAAGTGGCTGAAAAAGGGCATCAAAATGAAAGATCCTTGGAACACTGGAATTTCACACAACATTGTAAAATGATTATAAATCAATAAAAAATGTTAAAAAATACATATAAAAATAGTAATTTTCTTATTTAAAGGCTGAAATATAAAACAAAAATACTAGTATTATCTTAAGTAACATAAAGCACAGTGTTTTACAGAATACCTAGTTTTTTATTTTGGTACACCAATATCCTATAAAAGAGCATAACATGTTGTGGCCAAAAGAAACAACAGTAATGCAAGCAAGAACAATAAAGGAAACAGCTGGACTCTACTGCACTTATCAACATGAGCAGTGTCTAATGAATTCTAATGAACAATTTGAAAAATGTGTCTGTCTACACATTACTTACATCATTTGGTAAATCTACTCTCCCACTGTACCCACAGGGAGCTCCATCTGATGTCTTCTTTAATTACATATAAAGAAATATATTTAAACAAAGAAATATAAACAAACTTTCTTTAAAACAAAACAAAAAGCACAGAAAAGTACTAACCATGGTTGTTGCTATTTTTTCTAAAACTACAGTCTGCTAAACAAAATTCAAATATAATGAACAGATAAAAGCAGTATTTTAACAGATCTAAGAATCAATTAATAAGAGCACCACATTTTAAAATAAAGTAGGCAGGTTTGAAATTTGACATATTTCCCAAGAAAAAGCAATATTCTACGGCACCACTTCAATTTTAAAAGTAAAATATCCACTTTTCAAAGATAGTTAGAAATATCTTCTATTATTAGTAAACCAAGGGTATCAAAGCTTATAGCAATGTAAAGCCAAAAATGCATCTGTAAAGTAATTTTTTAAAAATAATTTTAATAGTGAATTTATAATAACATGGTTAGTATTTTTCTTGGAAACGTTTGTAAACAGCTCAACCCAAATATGCTGGGTATTTCCTAATGGAAACAGCTAAACTGTTTATACCAAAATAAAATCTACTTACAAGTGAATCTGCATCAGGGCATTCCCTGTTAAAATAAACAAAATATTAGAAATATTCAACTGTTAGAACTATCTGATAATTACACTAAACTGAAAGTTTTGGCTTTGGTATTTAAATATAACTTTTATTTAAACTCTAGGAAAATTAGAGAAATCAAATCATGAAGATTAAAATATACCAAATGATTTTAAAATTCACACAAAGACATTACCCTGTACCATACTAAAAGATAAAATAAAACAAACAGCTTACGAGTATTTTAAAAACTACTTTCAAAAGTACTTCTTTTCCATGAATACACACAAGAATCATATCAAGGAAGCTGTCAGCCCTACAAGGATTTCTGGTGGCTTTTAATCCTTCAGGTGGAGAAAGAAAAAAAAAATCCCTCAAAGAAGAAAATCTGGCTTTAAAAAATAATCTATATTTTTATTGGTAAAAAATAGTAAATAACATATTTAAATTAAAATTTTTTTAAACTTCAGTTTCCTTCCCATAAGCTAGCATATAGGGAAGTGAAGCCACCTTTCTCCAAATGTTAAATGAGCAGCTAGACTTTCAGCCAGAATAGTTTCTAGTCTAATGTAATATGTAATTGAGAACTGATATTTTATAATTTAACTAGTAAGCAAACAAGAATCTGGATATAATCTAGTGAAAACTATTACTTTAAATGTAAAGCTAAAACATAAATATCAACATTCTCGACTAGCCAAATAAAGACCTAAAACTTAAAATTAAAGACATTAAAGCCATGAGGAGTAAGGTGAGAAAAATTTGTATGTATACTAGTTCTAAAACAAATTCACAAACAAAAATTAGAGTGCGTATTTTAAAAGCACTAGCTTAGTTACACAGACTTTGGCTTGAGATATTAATGCATATAGTGTGAGATTTTGCCACTTTAATAATAAACTGAAAACACAGACATTAGATACACCTTAAGAGCCAAACGAACAATAATAAATGGCACTAAATATATAGGGAAAGCACTTAATATACAGGATAAACAGGTAATCTGTATCAATCCAAAGACTAAGCACAAACCAGGAAAATCTACAAATTAAAGAATTTTGTTCAAGAAAGGATGAAAGAGACTGAAAAAGTGAAAAAAGAGGGAGATGACTATACTGTTCTTAATCCAAATGGAAGCACCAAAGAGACAGGATGAATGCAACCCCCACATGTCTTTATATCCACTTAAAATAGCAAATTTTGAAAAAAAGCTTCCTATTATTGGTAGATTATAAGAAATATTTTATCAAAAAAACCTATGCATACTCTGAAGAAATGTTCCAAAATAGGTACTAGGATAATAAGTTCAATCCCTGTACAGAATCAAATCAATTAAGATGTGAGAAGACTTTTCTACTTTCTTCTTTTTTTTTTTAAAGATAAAATGTAAATATAAAAGTAAGTATAAAAGTTCCAAACTGTTAATTCTCTGGCTTAAACCAGAATCCTCCAGTCTTTGCGGTAAAGCACTCATCTGTTTGCTTCACAGTGCACAGTGTGAGACCTGCAGGTGAAATCCCAGGAAGACTATGCTCTGAGCAAGACCCCTCATCCACAACTGCTGGCATTTCTAAAGCCTTCAGGCTATGAGAAGAAGCATGCCAAGAGCCTCGGGCATTTCAAGCAAAATGAAATCTCAACTTTTTTTTCTGCCAGGAAGTGTTGAAAGAAGGCGATCATGATGACCTAGTATTCTTATTGGTCAAATATTCCAATATCCAAGTGGCCTAAATGATCATACTGGGAAATTACGGTCATGAAAAATTGTTTTAAAAACATGAAATAAACAAAAATATTATAAGCTCCCTAAATGAACAGCTGTGAAAACCATACATTGTAAAAACATTTTAACTCTTTCTAATACAGTCACTAACAGATAAACTGGCTACACTGTAAAAATTTACTTTAAAAAATCAATTGTTTAGATTTCAATATGTATTTCCAATATTATAAAAAGAGACGAGGTTCCATCCCCTTAGCAAAATACCCTCTTCACAATGTTCAAAAAACATCTGCAGAAGAGACAATAGCTATATGCATAAATTACTTTGCAAACAGTCTTAATTTGTAACCAAATACTACTAGGGGAGGGGTAAGAAACAGACATTTAGAATGGTAGAAACTCAGATACCAAGAATATAACCAGAGAGGAGGCAAGAATACCCGAAGCACAAATTGTTCTCTTACATTGAAAAATGTGAGTGCCCATCAAAATACTAAATCTCGGGAGAGTTTTGCTGATTATGCTAGAGAAATAGGGATTTTAAACAAATTTTCAGTCAATGTTATTAGGTCAACAAATCACTCAAGACTTTTGACTAATCTAAACGGGTCGAATAATTAAGCAAAGAAAAATTCCTTTAATTCCAGTTTGTCTCTGGTTAATCATAGCTCAATGATTCCCAACCCCACGTGTATATCAGGAATCACATAGGCTGCTTAGAGTAAAACAAAAACTATGCTGGGCCCTCACGCCCCAAGAATCCCATTTAACTGGTCTGAGGCAGGGCCTGGCATAGATATACTTATTTTAACTTCCCAAGAAGTTCTCATATGTAGCCAAGGTAGAAAACTTCACTTAGCGAATACTAGTTTAATTTCTTTATATGCTAATTATGTTTCTTTGTATATTAATTTCTTATTTTTAAAAAAGGTAAATGAAATTTACACTCCATCTGGCATCTAAAAATGATGAACTAGTATAAATGTTTAACAAATGTTAGGGCTTTTTTTCCTCCATTTAAGATTTTCTATTTATGTATGCATATATCAATGTGTGCCTATATGCTTAGAGTTGTCCTGAAGGATCTTCATCAAATTGTTGACCATGGCTTTTTTCTTATATTAAGACTAAGAAAATGTTTGTTTTCTTTGCATCTTTGTTTAATTTTTTAAAATATGCCTTACCATTTTATAAAATAAGAGTAACTTTAAAGTTTCAATTTCAAAACACTAAAGCTTTATAAAATCTTGAAATTTTAAAATAAGAAAAGTTAATACTTTAAACTAAAACTAGAAAAGTTGGCAGATGTTTCTAGAAAAGTGTGTATTTTTCATACTTTAGTCATATATACTTTGAGTTATTTGCAAAAGTTTTTTCTTTTCAAATTAATAACAAAAGCCTTATTCTTAATTATTTATAGCAACAGAAAGGATTTTGACAATATTTAATATACTTACACAGATTCTGTATCCTTTTCCTTTTTAATTATGCCTGGCAAACCAAAAGTCTTTCTTTTCCTTGGTTTTATACCTTAAAATAAATGTATATTGTTATAGAAACATAACTATTCCTGATAAATATATTAAACTTATGAATACATCTGGTATCCTGACACACAATTTGCTCATAATTGTTGATACTAAATTTGGACGAAAGAAATAAAAATATAAACTGCTGAACCTTAATATTTAATTTAGAGTCATAGTCTGTTTAGATTTTTCTTATGTTAATATAATAAAGCCTGTTATTCACCAAAAGGCTATATATAGAACATTCACTTTATAGATGAAATTCTCTCTTCCCCTCCTAAGTCTCCCCTAAATCACCTCAGGCAAAATAAGCATTTGCAGATTTCCTAAAACTTCAAAGTACATTATTTACCACGTTAGATTCTGTTATAATTGCAGATCAAATCATGTTTCCTGTACACAGGGTCACAAAATATAAATGTGCTGTTTTAAATAAAAAGATAACATGACAGATCCATTAATAGTATAACATGGGAAACTTACAATATGGCATTATTGTCCATATGTTATCTCTGATATAAACCATAAATGAAGAATACCATCTTTTTTTAACTATAGTTATAGTTTATTCAGATTTCCTTAACAAATATCATCTTTGTTTTGCCTAATATGGCAGTTCCCCCACTTTTTGCATGGCAAATTATATTTTAAATGTCATGCTATCAATTGTTAATAGAATCCAGCGCTTTAAAGCCTGGCTACTTACCCTTTGAGAACCAGAGCACATCTAAGCTAATTTCTCACCTTATACATGAGGAAACTCAGGCTATTATGGTTTTCTTTTTTTTTTAACTCAGTTTTATACATCTAGTAAATACTATAGCCAGGATTACAATCCAAGTGTCTTAGAATAATGTACTTGCTTTCATGCAAAACTAACTCCCTGAATCATACATCTGAATACCATAATATTTTCAAAATACATCATTTTTATTCTCATGGAGTAGGTATTATTTATTATCCACATTTTAAAAGAATTTTTAAAATTCTCTTAAACTTTAAAAAAATTATTTTAATGTACAGAGAATTTAAATAATTATTGCTCTCAAACAGTGAGAACTATAGTCTAGGCCCCAGAGCTCCTGGCTGCTCTGATAACCTTACACACAACAGCAAACCATTTCTCCAAATTCTTACACAGGCCTTGGAACAAACAGAAGACTGCTTCCAAATTATTTCTAGCAGCTTACAAAGTGAGATACATAAAACATGACAAAAATTGTGGATGTCTCTTGGGTTTCATACTATGAAAAACATCAATTTATAATAGGAGAGGTTGTGGACCCTTTCTCCAAGTCACATCATCAACCTATTTTGAATGATAACATTAGCATTAATGCATAGCCTTATTAATTATTAAAATGTTAACTCACTGTAGCATAAGCAGTATACATTAATATATGTTGATGACCTTCATATTTATATTAGAATGTTTAAAGATGGGTATCAATGGAGAAAACATTCTCAATGTATATCTGAAAACAAATACATGTTATATTTAATCTTTAAAATATATGTATTCTAACACTAATATTCCTTTGGGCAAACTTACTGCTTATTAAGTAGACATTAATATCTGCAGGTCTTTGAACCATAACTCAAATTTTTTTTACATCACTCTATAGACATGCTAACACCACTGGACAGCAGCTCCTCTTTATTTGTTCAGTAAACAGAAGCTATTAGCTAGTTGCCACATGTTACAACTGGTCAACTTACCCTCAACTGCACTAGCAGGGTCACATTCTTCAAATTCAAAAAGGCCTAAAAAAAATGTATGAATAAATACTAGTTAAAAAAAAAAGCTGGCAGAAAACAATTAGATCAGATCCCATTACATTTTTAATTGTTCTGAAATGTGTTCCAGTGTTATGATTGTGTTAAAGTATCAGCAATAATTTAAAAAATCAAATAAGCCTAACAGTGAAAAAATACTGACACTAGCCTATTATCATGATCATAATTTACTGAAAACCCTTTATATATGGTACCACAGAAGTGGAGACACAGAGATCTAACATGTACTTTCTGCTTTCAAGGAGCTTACAATATGTATAGTTGAAAGAAAACAAACACGGTAAGAGGCAGTTGCTGAATCCTTGGTTGTGTTTGTGGGAAGGACAGAAGGACGAACTCAGTAAAATACTACCTGGACGGAAGCTTGGGACTCTGTCTTATTTACCACTGTGAACTAGCAAATAACAGATTTTCCATAAATATTTCCTTAATAAATAAGTGAATTAATTACATACTAAGTGGTGATGCTAGATAATCCAGATCTCTCTAACTGTATAGCAGATCAAGGAATTTGAACTGTAGTTTGCAGGCAATGGGAAGAGTTTTTAAGTGAGAAAGTCACACATACACACCCATGCCGAGTAGTCTCACAGAAAAATTAATTCAGTACTGTTATCAACTGTAGAGGAAGACAATGATAAAATCGAAATGAGTTGGAAAACAATTAAAATAGCCCTGAAATGACAGTTCTGCTGAGACTAGCCTTAAATGCCATAAAATATATATTCCATATGTGTAAAATATCAAAGTATTTAGTAAAGAAAGTAGCAAAAGCATGAATTACTCTTCTACTGAAATATACCCAAAGCTAAATATTAGACTAAAAATTTATGTTCCACTAAACTGTCATTTTTGCCTTGTTTTGTAATGTATAAATTCACGCAAGTTCAGCATTTTTGTGAAATAATTTTTAATTTATTTAGGGTAACTGGTACAGCCTGCTACATCAAGAAATTTTAAAATAGAGCTCAGAGTAAACAGTGGATAATAGAGGATTTCATTACTGGTTCTTCTAAGCTGTTAAGCTTAACCATAACTATGTGCAAATTCATGATCAGAGTTCTCACTGATCATTCCATTATGAAAGAAAACCACGAATATATAAGAAAGATTTCTCTACAAGTAGGAACATCAAAAAATACTGGCTAATAAAATGTCTTTCTTCTTGCCCCTAAATCGAAGATTTACTTCTTCAGTTCCAGTTTCTATTCAAATAGAGTAGATTAACATTTAGTGATAAGCAGAATAAGTCATAAAAGTGAGTTGATAAACAAGGTCCTAATAAATTAATTAGCAATACCTTCCTTACTGGGGCAATCTTACAACACATATCAGAAGACTTGAAAAAAAAAAAATACACTCACTATTTCCATCCAAAAAATTCTTACGGAGTCAGAAAATTGCCCAATTAACATTTTAAGGACTTCCTCTCTGTAAATCTGGAAGCTAAGAATGTATTAAATGACAGGGTGATGAGCTGCTTCTCAGAATTCTTTTAACAGCCTACATTAACAGTTTAGAAAGAGATGAGAACTGAAAGATCAGTAAAGGTAAAGAATTTTAGTAGTACATGCATCTGATAAACAGCAAATTTTTGCTTGCTGTAAAAATTAAGAAGAATGAAAATCTCTACCTAAATTACTAACAGCTTATTAAGTATTATTAGTTTTATTACATACAAAAAAAGCTTAAGAGAATATAACCACTTGTCAAAAAAAAAAAAAGACAACTAGAAATGTGGTTAATCCAAAATGTTCCTACAGTTACACAGCACATCATTTGTACCCAGTAACTACAGAATTTCTAATATTCAGCTTATAGGCATATTCCAGAGAATAAAACACCAATGCCAAAAAAAGTATTACTTACAAATATTTTCAATGTAGTATCTAGAAAGACTTTTACAAATCACCTTAGCAAATACAGTATATACTCTTTTAAGATCTTTGGATGCCTTCATGTATGTGAAAATTGTAAAGGCATCCCTTCACTCTATAAACATCAATCCCTTCACACAAAATTCTACATTTTCTTCTCACAAAACACTTTTCCAATACCAGACGTATCTTGATTGCTTCTCTTTATCTTTTTTAAACATCCCCTTAAAACCCATTTGAAATAGAAAAATATCCAGTAAAAGTAGCTATTCAAAATGACATTTCTGAAATATTAGATGCCAAATCTTCTCAAATTGTAAAATACATATTAAAAAATTTTAACTCTGTTCCATCTGCATATAAGCTTTTCTGTTAAAAATAGAAATAATAAGTTTCTGGAATAATAAAACTATATATACTCTTTAAAAAAAAATTCAGTCATGCATGAGAAAGATTTTCTTTTTCAAATGGCATACACTCCGCATGCTGCTTCACATGGCAAAGCTTTGCGTGCCTGGCTCAGTGCCAGTTGACAGCTCAGCTGGATATCAGTGCACATTCTGACCCCCCTTGCAGCATGTCACTTCTGAACTGTTTCACAAGTAGAAAGTTTATTCAGCATCTCCCTCAAATGCAGTCCACTGTCCATCATTCTGCTATTTAATCGTAAGACAAGTTACTTTTTCTGACAGTACCAAAGCCAGAGTGAGAGTCAGAAAGAATAGTTTGCTACAACTGGAATTTTAACTGTTTTAGGCTCAATTAATTCTGTTGTCAAAATAAATAACTATTCTTAGTGCTCAGATTTTATGCTGGGCCACAAGGGCAATTTAGTTTATATAAAAGCAAGTAAGACCATTTTGGCTCTGTCTCCTGATGCTCTTTTACACATTATCTAAAAATCCCATCACGAGTTCAATTAAAAGCAGAAGAAATTAAAGGCAGACTTCCAAGAGGTCAACAATCTAACGCAAAACAATTCTTACAGATGATGCTTTAATCATAAGGGCAGGAATAAATTATTGCTAGCAAAAGAAAAAGTCCAATAACCTAAACAATTTATCCAAATCTAATTTGGATCAAATTTTTAAAGAAATGTTATAAGAGGAAAGAATTTATTTAACAATAATCTTTAATCACTATATTTTGTGGAAAGAGGCAGTGTATAAAAAATGTGAAATATCTAATTAATAGTTTCCATTGTTTGGGAATCAATTCTAAATCTTAGGCCACCAACAGGGCAAATCTGCAACTCTGCCTAGTTATAAACTGGCCTCAAAACTCAAATAAGAAGTCTCTGAGTTTCCCAAATCAAGCATATTTTTGCATATGCCCAACTGAAACCACAGAACACTGGTTCTAATTAGAAGCCAAAGTTAAACATACAAACATGTCCAGACCCCAAAGTTTAACAAAAAGTGATAATAGGAGAGAGGAGAGGCAGAAGAAGGGAGGGAAGGGGGAGGGAGGGAGGGAGGGAGAAAAAGAGAAAAGAGCAAGAGGGAGGGAGGAAGAAAGGGAAAGAGGGTGGGGGGAAGGTGACTCATAACAATGGGAGTCAATGACATTTTTAAGCTTGCTCCTGGGCCTATGAAATGCAACAGAGCCACATTCCTAGGTGCCTGGGATGAGGAACCAGGCAAGACAACTCGAAAAAGAGCATCAAACTCCAGCTTATGATGATGTGTAAAGGGTACAGAGGCACAAATTCTGGTTTTGCCATTTGCTTGTTGCAGATTACCTTGGACTAGCTATTTACTTTTTTTGAACCTAAGTTTTATCATTTTTACAAATGATGTGGGGGATGAGAACAATAATACCTTTTGCTATATTCACTTTCTCTTACTCTCGCTATACAAACCAGTATTCACAATTTTTTTCTTTTTCACTTGCTAAATTATTTGAAAATAAGTTGCAATAGCAATGCTACTTCACTTCAGGATTAGTTATTTTAATAAAGGGCTTGTAGAAACAATTCCCTCAGTCTATCGGTTCCAAATCTCAACTCCCAGTTGAATCTCCTAGTGCAATGCTTCATGTATCAGAATCACCTGGAGGGCTTGTTAAACGGCAAATTACTGGACCCCACCCACAGAGTGTCCTATACAGAAGGTCTGGGTTGGTGCTCAAGAATCTTTAAACAAATTCCCAGGTGATGTAGATGGGCCTAGAATCAGTTTGAGAACTACAGTCCTAGGGACCTCTGGGTCCATTGCCAGATAGTCTGTAAGTCTAGACAGTGCTTCTCCAATTTTACTGCACATACAATCTGCCTGGAGATCTTATTAAAACGCAGCTTCTGATTCAGGAGGTCTGGGGTAAGGTTTGAGAAGCTGCATTTATAACAAGCATCCAGTGATGTAATGCTACAAGTTCTCAACAATGGCTGCACATCAGACTCAGACAAGTTTTAAAATACAGTGGTACGAAGGACCCACCCCACACCAATGACATCATAATTTCTCAAATAGTGCATTGTACATCTGTACATCTTTTTTTTAAGAGAGAGAAATAACAAGGAAAGGGAAAAAAATTCCACAATTGATTCTCATATGTATCCAAGGCTTAAGAACCATTGATGAGGCAAATTTAGCGACCAAGGTCTTAAATCAAAGGAGTAAGTTTTTAACCATGGAATTTCAGTCACTGTAAAATCTTCTAAATCTCCAAACACAGATTCTTGGCACTGAAATATAATCTCCTCCTACATCCAAAATCTGACACTGCCTCCACATCCCCAGACTGAGTCATAATCTCACTCTCTGTGATCCTGATAAAACCTTCAGGAATTATACTCTGCTCACTATAATCTCTTGGCTTCTGTTACAGAAGCCACATGACTTAGTCAGAACTGACTAGACTAGAAAGCAGATTACCACAAACCAAGATTACCTAGACCAGATTCTTTGTAGTCTAGGAAAAAAACAAAAACCTGGGTTAATTCTGAGCCTTGCAATTAAGGAACAAGTAAAAATATGCAGAAATTACTAGGAGCACCTTATATTGTGCCTGGAGAAACAAAGAAAACCATTCTGCAAAAAACAAAAAATAAAAAAATTTAAGCAGTAGAAATACAGAGACTGAATAAAG